CAGACTTAACTTCATCTCTCAAGGCCGTCACTTCCGCTTCGTACCTGCGGACGCGACAATCATTATCATTAGCCTTTGTTTCTGCAATTTCCAGCGATCCTCTCAATGCCTGATTCTCAAGATCCTTGGTTCTCAAGGCATCCTCGGCGGACTTGGACTGCTCCGACAAACTTTGGATCTTAGATTCCATTTCGGCAATTGTCTGCTCAAACCGGCGAGTCTCGTCTTTCAGAAGTTCCCTCTGATCTGGTAGTTTAATTGCCGATAGACTACTTTCCAGAGCTGTCAAGTGATTGAAAAGGCCGCTTTCTCTTGCCTCTAATCCCTTCATTGAAAGGGTAATGTTCTCGTTGGCCGCCACCATTGTTCGAAGAGTGTTTTGCAATCTCTCATTATTCTCCGAATCTTTTGAAATCTTCGCCGCCAGCTCAGTGTCGCTGACAATATGCTTCCCAATAATCTCTGTTTGTGCTTTCAGATTCTCAGTCAGACCTGCAGTTGCCTCAGTCCCTTTTCCAATCCCAGCATTTAGCTGGTGCATAGCCGAATCCATGCTAAAGAGCCGTGTTAGCTGACTGACAGGTTATTTTGGCTAAACATATGAGGCTTACCGAGCTGCGAAGGCGTGAATAATGTCTGAGCATGCTGTTGCATCAGCCTTTCCTGATGAGATGCTCTCCTGCAATTCTCTGAGTAAAGCCAGACAACCGCTGAAATCACAGCTCAGACCCTCTTGGAGAGACTTCATGGAAGCAACATGCTTATGGCTCAGGCTTATTAAGGCAGCATCGAAACCTCCTATCATCTCACGTTGATGTGACATGATCTTATCCAATTTGGTGGACTGAGCTCTGGAACAGTTCTGTATGTGGACCTCAAGCAGACCTGATTGCTTTTTCTCGTCCGACAGCTGCCTCAGGAGTCGATCCGATGTCTCCCCGGCGTCTTTCAAGCTTTGCCTAAGCAACTCGTTTTGGCTCTCTACCTTTATAAGGTCACCTCGTCTATGCTCTGCGTCGGTTGAAGCCTTAACTAACTGTTCTCTTGCTTCCTTTATGCTGGTGTTTATCTCATTCCTCTCACTCAGCAATTCTTTCCTTGTTCCTTTGAGCTTAATAGCCTCCCCACGTAAATTTTGGAAGTCGCAGCCAAAGTCATTCAAGAAGCTTCTAAACTTCGCGAACTTCGACCTCCATGTTTCCATACGGGACTTGTAGGCTTCAAGCTGAGATGATTGCTTCTGAATTTTCTGGCAAGACTCCTCCAATTGGCCTTTCAGTATATTGTTTTCCTCTGCAGCTTGTGTAATCTTGGCCTCCATCTGTTGTTTAAGCTTAGAGGCGACTATTGCACCTTTCTCACGATCTCTGATACGGCTGATTAATAACTGGAATAGATCCTCTTCTGATAGTTTGGGTTCCCCATCTTCAGAGCCACCAGTGGATGGAAGCCTGGCGCTTTTCTTGCTTGAACGGCGACGCTTTGTGATTCTCGATGTTTGATTCGTAGCAACCGACAAAGTTTGCTCAATAGCTCTGCTTTGGCCTGGCCTTCTCAATGGTTCACGGGAGATACTTGTGTTGGATGCCTTGTTTCCATGCTCTGTCGCTTCTATTCTTTCCGTGTTCTGTAAGCCTTGTTAGCCGGGAAGGGAGACTTAATTAATAGACGGTCTACCTTTCTGTGTCTTAAGGAAGTGGTACTCCTGTCTTTACAGATGGGTCAGTGATAATCATTTATCTCATTGTGCTTTACGTACCCAACGCTGCAATTCCTGAGGAGACTGGCCGTGATTCAGCGGACGAGCGTTGGCCGACTTGTGGCACAGAAATAGCTGCAGAATGCAAAACGTGCGGGTTATGCCCAGCATGAACCCTACGCTCTGTTGTTTCTAGTGAGGTAGTCTCTGGTCCCTGTGCTTCGAGAGGTCCGATTCGTGAAACCATCTTCAGAGTGCGTGTTCTGATGTTCGAGTTCACTGGATATGAGGAACTGCGCACACAACCGAACGTTAGCCTAGTACCAAAACCCAGACGTAGTACTTACCTTCCATCTCCTGGCCCTTCTCGAGTCACCAAAGACACATCTGTGCCACCAGCCAGGCGAGCGTCAGACCGAGGAGGCATGGTATTCAGTGAGGAGCGTTTTGCTGGCTGCAGGGAAAAGGAATTTGGGCCCTGAGTCGGCCTCTGGAAGCAAAAGGCTGCCATGTCAATACCAGGGCTTTGAGGGCGTTCCATGAGTAGTGGGGAAGCCTGTCTGCGAGGCATGTCTCTGTCTTCCTCTGAAACCGTAGCTGCTGTGAGCTCCGGTAAAAGGGAATCATTATTGTCTGCCATATGCATGAGTAATAGCTCTTCCACCTCGTCATAGCTATCCCCATCAGCGAGGTTTGTAAGTTCAGGATAGACTATGGAATCTGCCTCTGACATTGACTCTTGCTCGCTCTGCATCTTGACGCGACTGATAAGGTTTATGATCAGATTCTGAGCTTTCAGTGTACAACAATGGACAGAGGAATATAATCACCCAACAAGGAAGAAAGCGATTTGACTTGCAAGGTTGTGAGTAACTAGGAGTGACAGCACAGAAGGCACCATATAAGGAGCTGCTATCGCGGTTGTAATGCTTGGTATCCTTCTTTCACGATGTAGTCACCCTCAAGTGGCCTGCAAGTTGTCTGAAGAGAGAGGGACGGGACAAGAAGTGCCCCAAGTAATCGAGGCAGATGACCGCTCGTGACCCGAGGAGTGAAAATGCATAAACGGAAGTCGGGGGCTGCCGGATCAAGCATGGTAATGTTTTTCTGTCATAGCTAACCGAGGCTTAATTGTGACTGCACAACATACTGATATGTGTATCTGGCACTGGTACTGATAACTACTAGTTCTTATGGTTTCAAGCTCAGTAGCCAGATAACATCGCCATTTTTGCTACCCTCATCTTCATGGAACCCAGGATAGCCCGTGGCACTTGGGTTGTTGCTTGGTCGGAGAAGGGACTGTTTTCCTACGAGACAGACAAGGCGTCTCACCAGGCCTTATTTTGGGCTGGAAACGATGGCAATATCATCTGTTCCACACCTCAATTATCACTGCCATAATAAGGCTACCAAACGTGTAGCTCTACTACTTCCTGCAAGGCGAGAATGACAGGTTTGTCTTCCCAGAAATATGACAATCTGCAGAGCTACTTTTACTGAGGCCGCTTTTCTCTCCCCCATAGCGCAGTTGTATACGCGTGATCATTCGTCCAAAAGGTCCGACGCAGCCTCACTTGCGCCCGAGCAGATGCAGAACATCTGAAGACTTGCGGAGTTATCGTGCATGGCGGCCAAGCCATCTCTACAATTGGACACTTTTCAAGGGCTATGCGGAGTTGGTGCTTGCAGTTGGCGCCGATATCCCACTAAGTCGAGTTCCGTGTCTCCGATTTGACGTTTGCGTTTCACTCTCAAACCAGTGAAACTGCATGATCCCGGATCTCGCACACGACCAAACACTCCAGCCCATCTTCAGGATTTAGGCTGTCACAGTCAAGCCTATCACAGAACAAGATGTCTTAGTGCTGCGTACGCAGCAGATTCTTCACAAATCTCGTGCCCCTGGTGACCCCATCGACTCCCACCATAGTATATGATGAGCGCTCTTCCCTGCCTGACTATTCTCAGATAACAACTCATTTCTAAGTGCCAGGTATTGACACGAAAATCTCTCAGCACCTCAACATTCTGTCTCAAGAAAATGATCGGCCACTCCTCGTACTCAATACAGCCTTTGTGGTTGGTGTTAATTGTACTATCATCACCAGCGGTCGCACAGGGTGTACTTAATAGCGTCGACAGCCAAGATGGAGATGGCGAATCAGAGTCATATTCGACGACGCGAAGCGTTTCCTCTAAAGGAATGATAATTTTGTGCACCATCGTGGCGTTGGTTTTGGTTATCGGTGGTATGTCTCCTTAGAAATTAGACACGCTCGGGGAAGGGTTTTGTGTTCGAACAGGCGCTGACAACTCCGTTGACATAGTTTTATTCACCGTTGTGTTCATCACTGTAAAGAAGAGGAGCTCGAAGACTTCCAAGACACCCTCCTCACCAGATGAAGCAGTAATAGAAGCCACGGAAAGGCCGTTGAGCGGCAATACACCGACAGAAAGGAACGCCTCTAGATCCAAAACTTCGAAACACGCAGGGATTCAGCCAGATATAGAGAAAAATGCTGGTGTTGATCAAGGCCGACCGCACAGAAATGCTTGGATGAAGCAAAGAGGATGGGGGTCCTACTTCTCTTTCGGGCGCGCATAGAAGCGATCGCTCAGCCACAGCATCTCATTCATCTCAGATAATTCAGCGATCCATTCAAGAAAATTTTGATTGATAGCAGCTCAGCGTGATGGCTTTCCAGTTATTGTACTTTTCAATTTCGTTCTTGTGGTCTCACGAACTTCCCCCGCGTTGTTTCTTGATGTATATCTTGAGGAATACCCCGCACTCCTTAAAATTGACATTGGCTCCAATGATATGGGGCATCAGCATCAGGATCAAGGAATGACAAGGATTGACCACACCGATAATCACACAGTCTGCATGTAGGGGAGCGTCGATACCATGGAAAGCCTTGCCCAAACAATGCTGAGTGGGGACGCCCCGCGGCGTCCTGCGAGGATCATCCAATCAGTCTCGCCAATTCCATGCTCCGTGGATGACGGCAAGTCTTTCCGTCTGGAAGTGAGCAACCCCACCCGTGTTGGTTCTACAAAATGTCCATGGGAGCATGAATCTCTCTCTGCTCCATTGCATGAACAATGCAGAAGCCCATCAGCGCCCCCATATACAGAGGGGAAGAATAGGATTGAGCCTGAACGAGGAAATTTTCCCCATCAGCACAGCTGGGCCCAAGACAATGTACTCCGAGACCTCCAGGACATATAAGGCCTCTGGATCTCGCCCAGCAGGTTTCATTTCCATTCGCGTTCAAGAGAAAGACCTTGTGAATAGCTTATCTTGAATTCACAAAGCCAATCTCATTCATCTCCTTCATTTACTCACAGACTTCCATCTCACAATGCCGATTCAAAAGCTGAAAGTTGGTATGGCTGGTCTGGGCCGGATAGGCAAGGTCCATGTCCACAACTTCCTTCACCAAACCCCACGGGCCGAAGTTGTCGCCGCCTTCTCCCCCGATCCTGCCGAGATTACATGGGGTAGACAACACCTAGAGCCTTATGGAGTTACGTTATATGATAACTATGACATGATGCTGGAGCACCCCGGCTTGCAAGCAGTCGTCATCGGGACGGCGACCTCGGTGCATGCCGAGGAGACGATGAAAGCTATCGATCGGGACCTGCATGTTCTTTGTGAGAAGCCATTGTCAATTGATGTGGAAGTGGTATGTTCCGGATATCTTGCTTAAATATTGGATCTACAGTTGTCGTTTCTCGAAATGGCATATGGACTAACTCATTGGTAGTGCAGAGCAGTTGCACAGAAGGCTAAGACCAAGCCACACTTGAAGGTGATGTGTGGCTTTTCTCGGAGATTCGATGACTCCTATCGCGAGGTTTATGATAAGATCAGCCAGGGAATGATTGGACGTCCCTCCATCGTGAGAAGCCAGACTTGTGACAAATACGACCCCTCGGGCTTCTACGTGGCTTACGCAGCGTGGTCGGGTGGTGTGTTTGTTGACATGTCGGTCCATGATATCGACCTGACCTTGTGGTTCATGGGAGAGGACTCGGTCCCCAAGAGCATTTCCGCCCACGGAATCACGGCTGTCCAGCCAGAGTTGAAGAAGTACAACGACTACGACAACGCAGTCGGAATTGTTGAGTTTCACAATGGCAAAATCGCCTACTACTACTGCTCTCGAATGATGCCCCATGGACAAGAAGATACGACCGAAGTTATTGGCACCGAGGGGAAGCTGTCTGTTAACATCAACCCGCAACGCAACTTCGTCAACTACTACCACAACGGCGGCATCACGCGCGAGGTCCCTGCGAATTTCCACGGGCGCTTCGGAGGTGCCTTTGTGAACGAGGCAAACGAATTCACTGCCTGTTGCTTAGACAACAAACCACTGCCCCTCAAGCTGTCTAATGCAGTCAAAGCTGTTGAGATTGGCGCATACCTTCAGGAGGCATTGGTGACAGGGAAGCAGATCCACTTTGATGAGATTGGTAGAAGGATTGAGAAGGCTCAGTTGTAGGATGGATTCTATATCCGGCCTGCTCCAAGATATTAAAGCTTCTTTCAATGTTTGAATCTAGAAAATGATCCAAGATGTAATGAATACCTAGCTGTTCTTCGTAGACAAACACTGCTTCCTCACTACTACTTAAGTACTAAGAGTTGAATTAAGCTGGGGAAATTGCACTATTCCGAAAACGGCATCCCCGCATTCCGGATTCAACCCAGGGAGATCATCGAATCATCGACTCAGGACACTGTCCATCTCAGCTCTTCCATGGTAATTAGTCTGCAACGCGACCAACGTGGTGTTTATGGCCGATGGCGTGAGTGGCTCCACTGCGTCGTCAAAAGGCCCCAGGGGACGGGCGGGTTCCTGAGCGCGTCTAGCCAGGCTGCCACGCCAGCGCAATTGCCAATGACGAAATGCACGGCTGACGACGCCCACGATCGACGAAAGAGCTCCATCCAGCCAGCCAGGGGTGTCTTTCTCCCCATTCGACTTCAGCACTGGACTCCGCTCATCCCCACCTCCGTTTCACTTCTTCATCATCCCATTGATATCTTCCATGCTGGCGGACCGTCTACTCCTCAATATATTTGACTACCTCCACGGCTGGATCTCCGGGACGTAGTTCAACATGTATCTAGACTTCACTAAGAGCCTCGGTATTGGCTCGCTCACTACCATGCTCCTCTCCGCATTTACCCCTCGAGAGCGAGCGCTCGTTGTTCATCAGCCAGCGCTGCCTCCATCCTATCCGCTGGCCGTCCGGAGTCCGTATCTCTCAGCATGGATGCCCAGCGATCAGGTTCAGATATTGCCGTATGCGGAGCCTCAGTTCTGGGCTGGACAGAGTCTCACGTGGTCGGTCATGGCTCGCGTCGATGGCCAGGCGTACAGTTTGATGAGCGTCAAGAATCCAGGCGAGAACATCATTCCTGCGATCGTTCGAAGTGCCGAGTATACCGCGACCCATTCAGTGTTTACTCTTTCCGCTGGTTCGGTGGTTTTCACTTTGGACTTTTTCTCGCCCATATCGCCCTCAAACTATCTGCGGCAGTCTCTTCCTTTCAGTAAGATCGCGACTTCAACATAGCCTATCGCGTTTCAGAAGCTAACCAGTTCGTGGGAAAGGCTATTTGACCGTTTCTGTATCGGAAGGTTCTTCCAAGAGCATCCAGATCTACTCCAGCATCGACGGAAGATGGGCGGGCAAGCCACAAGCCACTACACGCGGTTTTCGCGAAACCGGCACCACTGCCGTCTTCTCTTTGGGGCTGAAGGACGGCTCCCCTTACTCTGAAGTAGATGATATGGCTACATGGGGCGAGGCGATCTTCGCCTCTCGCCCAACTTCTAAGTCTAAACTCTCTTTCTCATCCGGCAAACGCGGGGAAGTGCGTTCTCAGTTTGTCAGTACTGGGAGACTAGTCGACAATCGTCAGCCATGGGTTCGAGGAGGAATCGTGGCCCTTTCACACGATCTAGGAAAGGTTGAGGGTAGAGAATCAGTGACATTTGCCGTTGGGCATGTGCGTGAGCAGTCCATTAATTACCTGGGCAAACCATACACCGGCTATTACCGATCGCAGTACCCGGATAGCCACGACGCGGTCTCTTACTTCCTTGACGACTATACCGCCGCTCTGCAGGAGTCTCGGATACTCGATGCAGAGATGGCCAAGCAAGCCAAAGCAGCGGCTGGCCAAAAGTACGCCGACATCGTCACACTGTCGGCTCGTCAGGCGTACGGAGGGATAGAGGTGACCATCCCTAATGACACTCTTGACACCACCGATGTTCTGGCGTTCATCAAGGAGCTTTCTAGCAATGGCAACCTCAACACGGTGGACGTTATCATGCCTGCCTTCCCGATTTACTACATTCTGGACCCGGACTACATCCGACTTCTGCTGGAACCAATGATGAGGTACCTGGCTGCTGGCCGCTGGCAAAAGCCGTATGTAATCCACGACATGGGCAAGCATTATCCCAATGCCATTGGGCATGACAATCAGAAGGCCGAGCCAATGCCGATTGAGGAATGTGGGAATTTAATGGTACTGATCCTGGCCTACGTACGAGCAACAGGCGACACCGAATGGGCCGCTCAGTACACCGACCTCCTGAGAGGCTATGCGGACTATTTGGTCGATAATGGCGTTGATATCACCAAGCAGCTGTCTTCGAACGATGCGGCTGGCGCACTAGCCAATGAGACGAACCTTGCCATCAAGGCGGCCGTTGGTATCAAGGCATTAGGTGAACTGACGGGACTCTCCGAATACTCTCAAGTTGGGGAAGCGCGAGCGGATCTGTTCTTCACCCAGGGCCGTGGAACAGACGGGAACAAGACACACTTCGTGCTGCAGTATCCCGGCAAGCCAGCCTCTTGGAAAATACCATACAACCTCTACCCAGATGTACTACTTGATCTTCAGACCTTCCCCAAAGCGGCATACGAGATGGGAAATACCTTCTTCAAGTCGGTGCGAGCTGAATATGGGGTTCCGTTGGATAACCGGCAAGACTGGGCCAAGTCGGACTGGAACATGTGGTTAGCAGGCACGTTCGATGCCGACACTCGCTCTGAGTTTGTGGAGGATCTTTGGAGTTTTATGACCAACGGAAAACACAACTGGCCGTTCTCCGATCGATACGTTGCCACATCAGCCAAGGGACGGAGCCCTGGGGTGCCTGTGCTGTGCCGAGCTCGCCCAACAGTGGGCGGTCATTTTGCCCTGATGGCACTACAAGGGCCCAAATCCCTTCAAGCTGCTGTTTCGAGGCAAGTGCTCAGTGAAGGGGGCAACAAAGGAAGCAGTGACAGCCAGGAGACTTTGTTGAATCACGGAGAGAATCTGTAGATTAGACAGAGAGAGTTTTTGTGTAACACATCATCAATTGTGAATAGATCTGAGAGGTAGATAGAATGGAAACTGGTAATTTCCATTATCTCATGAATTACTTGTGTTGCCAGTGCTGTCAGGTACCTTCCTGTTTAGGCCCGATTTGAAGTGTCACTTGGGCATTGTGTAGATCTGGATGACCTCTTGTGGTGAATGAAGTCCAGGGAAACACCCGCTGCAGAAATTTCTCGGTGTTAGAGGTCAAACCATTCACTTACCATCTTTTGCGTACACCAATCTTTACAACTAGTACTCGTCAGTTACTGTTGTGGTGGTTGTTGTTGTTGTTGTTGTCCCTTGCGCCCGTTTGCTGTAAAGCTGCCCCTGGGGCTTACATAAGCGGGGAGGCTTCACTTCGGCTGGCAGCGACTCTGAGTCTCTCTTTCGCCGTGTTCCAAACCGCCTCGTCGTGCTTGCTTCCTCCTCCCCCAGTCGTCTTTCTTCGTCTTCTTCCTCTTCTCTCGCCCGCCTCTTTCCCTTCTCCTTCTGCTTCATCATCAACTACCCTTGACCTTTTCTTTCTCGCTTTTCCGACCTCTAGTTCCAGTCCCTACTCATGGCTTCTGTATGTGCTCCCTCTCTTGTTTCTGCCCCCGTATAGCTCAGCTGTGATGTGATGGCTGTCCAACGTCATGTCCCCCTCTGAAACCGCGCGTTGGCGATCCTCCAACGCGCCTAGATAAGATCTTGGCCTTCCCCATGCTGACCTCATGCTCTCTTTCTTGTCTAGCCCCGTCCTCCACACAACTTCGGTCCTCAAGGCTATCCCCTCCCCAACGGTGCTGTTCCTTCTGGTCCCGTCCCCGGCGCCGCCCCTCTCCTCCCAAACAATGGTCGAATCATTCAGAATGGTCCCGTCAGAGTGCTGTGCATTGCGGACGTGCGAGGTATGTGGTCCGGATATAGCTCCGGTAGCGATCCCCAGATTGGTAGACCCGATTGAGCTGATTTGGGAAATCTGTTTTGCTTTTTCCACGGCGCAGGTAATCTGAAGTCCTTGAATGAGTTGGCCAGGCAGGCCCGTGCAGACCATATCATCCACACTGGTGACTTCGGTTTCTACGATGACACTTCGCTCGAGCGCATTGCAGACAAGTCAGTGGCTTTCCCCTTCCCCGATTCGTACAGCTACTTTCAGCCGCTAGAGAGCTTTCATGCATGATAAACATGTGACCGGATCTACTAACACAAATCTGCATCTCGACGATTAGGACTCTTAAGCACGTGGCCCAATACTCTCCCCTGCTCCCCGAGAATGTCAAGCGCACTATTGCCCAGACTCCTCCCCAGCAGTCCATCAAGCAACGATTCACGCCCGATCAGCTACCCCTCTCAGAGCTTCCCATGCTGCTCGACAAGCGGCTCACTCTCGATGTTCCTGTCTACACTGTCTGGGGTGCCTGCGAGGATGTTCGCGTGTTGGAGAAGTTCCGTTCGGGAGAGTACAAGGTTGACAAGCTGCACATCATTGATGAAGCCAACTCGCGGCTGCTCGACATTAGCGGTGTGAAGCTCCGTCTCTTGGGTTTGGGAGGAGCGGTTGTTATGCACAAGCTGTTCGACAATGGCGAGGGCAAGACTACTATTGCTGGTGGCCAAGGCACCATGTGGACAACCCTGCTGCAAATGGGAGAGCTGATTGACACAGCGAACCGTGTATACGACCCCTCAGAGACCCGGATCTTCGTCACGCATGCGTCGCCGGCTCGTGAGGGTATGCTGAACCAGCTGTCGGTCACGCTCAAGGCCGATTTCTCCATCTCCGCTGGCTTGCACTTCCGTTACGGCTCGTCCTACAACGAATTCTCCGTCAACCCCTCCCTCGACCACTACCGGGGCAAGCTTGCCGCTTCCAAGGCTTCCTTCAATGACGTGTGGGAGACCGTCCGGGGCGAGGTCGAGGCCGCCATTTCGCAGAACGAGGCTCAGAAGACTCTGCTGGACAATGCTCTTGAGGTGGTCAACAAGATGCCTACCGTTGCCAACGGTGGCAACCCGTTCGGTGGACCTGCTGCCCCCGGCAACGCAGCTGGCCAGGTCGACGAAAGCGCCTTCAAGAACATGTGGAACTTCAACTTGGCAGACGCAGCATTCGGCTTCTTGGTGCTTGAGATCGAGTCGGGCCGCATAGCTACCGAAATGCGCGCCCAAGGATTCAATTTCGCTCACCGTACCGGCAAGCCCCAGCCCGCTGGCCCAGCCCAGCCCGCTCCCGTCCCCGCTGGCGCCCCTGCTGGCATTGCCTCGCCTCGCGTCCCCGGAGCTGCTCCCCAATTCGGTCAGGCTCAACCTGTTCCCGCCCGCACGGGTCCCCTTCCTCAACAGCAGGCCCCGGCACAGGCCAAGGCTCCCGCCGCCGCTCCCGCTCGTACATCCCCCGTTCCCGTGATCCCTAAGCCTGCTACGCCGCAGCCTGCCGCCGCCCCTGCTGCGCAGCCCGCCGTGACGTCCCCGGAGAGAACCACGACCACCGAGGCCAACGGTACCGCTCAGCCCGAGAAGCCCTCCGAATCTCCGATGCCCAAGATTGAGAAGAAGCAGAGCAACGGCCTCTTCGTCTCGAACGTTGAGAACGAACAAGCTGTGCGTGATCTCTTCCCCGAAGAAGACAAGGCCAAGATCGTGAAGATTGAGAAGTGGGGCAAATACAACAACCATGTCGTCCACTTCACGACTGTCGAGGAGGCCAAGGCTGCCCTCGATCGCCAGCCCCCGGAGCACAAGAAGCCCACTCCTGCCGGTCAACCTCGTAAGCCCAACATCAAGTTCTTCGAAGACCGTGGCAGCCACCGCGGCAACGCCGGTACATGGCAGGGCAGCAACCGTGGTGCCAATGCCTCCCAGCGCGGGTACCAGAGCGGAGGTGCCAGTGACAGCGAGACTAACCGCGGACGTGGATTCCGTGGCCGAGGCGGTGCTGGCCGCGGCGACCGGGGCGGACGTGGCGGACGTGGTGGTCGCGGTGGGTTCAACAAGGGAGGCGCTCCGACTTCAGACTCGGGACCAGGCGACAAGCCAGCCACAACTGGAGGCGACGCTTGATTTGTGTGTGGTTGTGCCTGATATCCCTTTCTGATTCCATATCCGCCTTTGTTTCTCCAATTCCCCCTTTTCATCTTTCTTTTCGAAAGTGTCATTCTACGTCTGCATCTCTTTTCTTCCTGTTCCATGTTTTCATTAATCCCACGCTTTTCGATCGGTATTTTAATTTTCTATTGTTGTGATACTTGCTAAATGACGTCTTTTCCTCTTTTCACCATGTTCTTGTCCTTTTTCAGCGAGATATGCGTCCAAACTTCTTTTCCCATTCATCTTCTTCTTTCCTAGTAGACACTTCGCGCTGGCGACGGGAGTGATCGGGTTCCTGACTCGGTCAACTCCATTCCCCACTCGGATCCCTAGGACTCCAGGAGTCGTTGGTGTGGATCCGAAGGCAGAAGCAGAGGCGGAGACAGAGAGACATAAGCGGAGGCGCAAAGCAGAAGCAAGCGGAGGAGAGGTGGGTGTGTGTGCTATTGAACTTGGTATGATATTATGGTCTTTGATTTTGTTGGGTGGCCGCGGGAAACGGGGAATTTAAAAAGCGAAGGGATATATCTGAGGTTACTTTGCAAGAAACGAAAAAAAGAAGAAACAAACCAAAAAGGCCAACGGCGAGGATTCTTTTGTATTCTATATTCTCCTGGAACGTACCAATATCGATACCCTTGTAACTTCCTGCGGTTTTATCTACCACTAGTAGTATCCTTCCAACTGGTAGTACCGCTATACTACTTGTACTACGTAAGTAGTAAAGACAGTAGACTAACTTTTCTACAATTACCTCCTACTTTACTACAACTGTACCGCAACGGGTGTTGCACTGACCTCCTTCGGGCAACTTACTAGTAAGTAGTATGTACTATCATGAGTGCAACTAAGATCATTGTTGTTTCCAAGATATATATTCCGGGCGGGTGCCGCGGGCCACTCTACGTAACGGACCACACTAGTCAAGTCTTGGTTTAAGATAGTAATTCACTAGTATTACCGAACTCACGGTAGTACTAGTAACAAAGCAGTAGTACCACGACTGGTAGTACGACTGCAATTGTAACAGGTAGATGGTTGAAGAATCATCGGAAGCATCAATCATTAGTATGAAGGAATATCTATACTAGTACGAGTATCGGAGAAGAGAGAACTGGCGTATTATTACTTCATGCCTATACAGAGATACAACCTCACCCAGAGAAATACGCCGATTACGCCCAAAGAGACAAGAAGAACCCTTTCGCATATTTCCAAGGGCAGGTGAGTAGACAGATAAATTGACAAAGCAACATATCACTCGAAGTCCCCAGCCACCAAGATTTTTTGAATACATGTGGTGTGGTGTGCTGAAAGGTCAAGAACCAGCGGTGCATATACATAGGAACAAGCACGCAACCCAAGTGTAAGGTAGAATGAATGAAAGAAGACTCCAACGGTCATGGTGTACAGTCTGCCAACCCGAAGCTTCCTATATTGCATTAATTTTTCCCCCAGCAAACCACGCCTCCTGTTCGCCTGCAGTGGTCTTCGAGAGAAGGAGAGAGAAGAAGAAAGAAGATAGTAGAGAAAGTACAGTCATAAGTAGATGGAGAGATGTAATATGTGTTGGGGAGGTTATTGCTTTGCTCCAAATGTCTTTAGAAGAAAAAAATGTCCAACCGAAGATTGCGGTAAATAACCTGGAGTACTCCGTGGATTTTTCACTTTGCGTTCGTGTGAAAAACCTCCCGTATCCATTTGTCCCTTTTTGTCGTAACGGCGTCAACAACAGCTTTGCATTACATGTATGGGTATCTGAAACGCAGAATGATGGCAACGAGGGCAGTATGCGGCGGGCAGCGCAGGTGCGAACTAACTTGTTGTTTCCCCTCGCTTGACTACTTCGCCCGCCCCATGATGTCGTCAACGTCTTGCTGGTTGACGACCACACCGCCCTCAGAACACCGCGCCTTCATGCGTAGTTCGGAGCAAAGATGATCGACATCGAGCTCTCCGTTGCGGAATCTCTCCATTGATTGCAGACGATCCCTTTAAGAAGTCAGTACGAATGTGGTTATTGGGAAGTACAACAGGATGATCATACCATATCTTCGTGCAACTCAGCATCTGAGACTTGTCTTCTCCAGGCACAACTTCTTCATCCAACTTGCTGTCAATCTCCGCGATCAAGTCCTTCTTCGGTGGTTGTTGGGTGGCCGCTTCCGTGAGGTTGTGTGAAGGGCTTCCCAGATCGGGCAGGGGGAAAGCATCGTCAAAGAATGTTCCGAAGTCCTGAGACAGGATGGCATCCTGAGGCTCACGCCAGTCTCCGAATAGAACAGGATCGAACTGGCCTCCGTTCTGCTGAGCGAGCATATCCAGACCCGCAACATCCTCGTGGGGAGCCTCCTGACTAGGAGTATTTGACGCGCTTTGGCTGTTATGCCGGACGGCTGGAATGGGGTTATTGATATTGCCACATGCCATGCCAAGTTGCGCGCAGAAGGATTCCTCACCATCGATGGTGGTATATGTGCAACCATCATGAGCACCGTGATTGTGGTGGGCCTTAGTAGCAGGAGAATTAATGGTCGGTTCCGGGGATGTGCCGTTGGAAGAAAGACTCTGGCTCTGGTGGGAATCGGACGAGGAGGATGGCGAGTCAGTTGTAGAGGAGTCGTGCGTAGAGGTGGAGTGTGCCGTGCCGTTGTATATGGACACCTTCGGCGTAGACTTCCTCGTGGACGCAGGAGTGGAACCCTGCTGGGACACGGAGCTGGGAGTCCTGCCCGCGGGTACACCGTTGGACTGAGAGCTGCTCAGAGAGTTACGGCTCACAACACCTGGCACACGAGAGTCGTTACGCGGGGTTGCTGTTGATGGCTCCCCTTTAGCACTCTGCTGCGTCTTGGACAATTGGCCATTATTGAAAATGTGGGAGCCCGGAAGATCCCCGAATTTGGGGAAGTCAAACATGAAATCGTTGTTCTGAAGGCCGTACGATCCCTTGCTGTTGGGATAGGCCCCTGGGATGGCATTCATGGCAGAGACACCAGTTCCGGTGGTCAGCCAGGAGAGACGCTTGCGGTACTCTCTTAGTTCGACTTGCAGGCGGTCAATCTGAGCACGTAGCAACCCATTTTCCTGATTCGCGTTGTCAGAAGCCTTCTGAAGCTCATCTACCTTCGTTTCCAGATCCTTCAAGTGTTTCTCCTTGCGTTCACGGAACGCTCGCTGCGCAGCCCGGTTCTGTGCCTTCCGCTTCTGCAAATTTGTTAGTATCACGATACCCTCGGCGCCCACATCGCGATAACCGAGTATACGTACTGAGGTTGGCTCGGAAGTCAAGGGCTTCCTTCCTGGCTTCTTTGCCGCCTTCTCATCGCTTTCTCTTCGCTTCTTACCAGAAGCTTCATTCTCATCCGCATCGCCATCGATGTCCTTCCGCTTCTCTCCCGGCTCGGGTTCTTCCGATTGCGGCAGGCTGTCGGGAATATCACCGATCAAGTTCTCGGAGCCTTGAAAGTCAAAGTCCAGCTCGGGGTTGAAGTCCAGGAAGGGACTTTCATCATCACCATATCCCAGGCCACCCGAGTGAGGATTAGAGGGGTCGAATGCAGGGCTCATATTGTAACTACCTGTGGTTCCAGGGGTAGACTCTGGGTCTGACTTGGAAGCCGGGGGATGAGAATTATTCTGCTGTTTTGCAGGCGGATTGTTGGAGGATAGAGCAGCCAGGAGAAGATCCTGCTGATCTGGCGACAGGTAAAGACCGTGCTGATAGAGGGAGTTGTAGTCGGTCATTGTGTTCAGAATATCGCAGCCGACAGTGACAACCAGAGGGGGAAGGTGTTGAAGCCGTGGGGCGTGTCAAGTGCTGCTCGACAGAAGTGATCTGGAAATAATGGTCGACTCGATGAGATGCAGGCCGGGCTTCCCGCCCGTTCGTTGTATCGATGGGTGGCCCCCAGAGACGGGTCAAGTAGGAGGGGTTCCGGTACGATGACACCGGAAGAGACCAGAAGAGGGGCACAATATGATTTTTGCGATGACCGGGACAGCCAACCAAAAACCTTCACGTCAACTTCAACTGCAACTAGGAATGTTTGGGGGAAGCAATCTGAGGCTGGCAGTCTTCGGGAGGTGTTGGGGAGACGGGGCGTTGCGGGAAGAAGTGAGATTCGGGAGACAGGTGAAGTTGCGGATGACAATGCGTGAAGGAGAGGCGCAAGGCAGGCGAGACGCACAAGCCGCAAAGAGGTCTGTCTGACGAGCCAAAACGGGGCTAAGGAGAGGCAGACCTAGGACGAATCACAGGCCGAGCAAGAGGATGAGAGGGAGGGGAGAGGGGCTGGTGAGTGGTGAGTGAAAGGAGGATGGGAAGAGTAGTAGGATGATGCAAGATGGGCGAGAGGTAGGGGGATGCAGTAGGGCGAAAGAATGCAAGACCCGTCGTTAAGGGTCTGGCCGAATGGAACGAAATTGTGGCACCGGGTAGGAGGGGGGAGGGGAGTTGGTTCTTGACGGGGGTTGGAAGGAAAGGATGAGGGGGGAAAGGTTGAGAGAAGGCGTGAGAGAGGAGGCAGTGGATGCAACAAGACAAGACAAGCCTAGTAGAAGAGAGGCGGATGGAATGGAATCTTCCACCGCGGAGGAGACAGACTGAGAGAGGGGGGCGATGGCCCTGAGAGCGGTCGGCAGAGTGGAAGAAGGTGATTGGCTACAGGGTTCTGCAGAAGGCAAAAAGTGTAGCCTGAGGTGCTCTGCCGGTGCAAACCTCAGGCTGCAAGTGGGGAACCCAGTGACTCCTGCTTAGAAATCCAACCCGAAAAGCCTCTGCGGTTTTTCTCTCTTCGCCCATTTGCTTCTCTTCCAACTTCGGCATTGCTTGGTTCCTTGGTTGGTCACCTCTTACAATCATCAACCCTACGATGGATTTGACTCCATTGCTAGACTCGTCAGCCTGAAACTGGTATCCAGGCACTAGTATCTTAGTCTCTGCCTATTTAGTACCTAGATAACTAGTCTATCAACGCCGTCGATGGATAGATAGGTAGATTGCTGGACCCCCCCCTGCGAAATTGGGACCGTCCTTTGTCTGGGTGATGCTACTCCGTACTAGACGAACCGATCGACTGTCTCACCCAAGAAAAGTGACTCATGGGGCGCCACTTTTCTCGGACACGGGCACGGGTTCTCTTGTTCGCCGTCATCTCACCGCCCCCAGTCTCAGTGTTAAGACCAGACCCTCCGACTTTCGGTGCTCCTCATGGCTCATGCTGATGCCTATCCCTTTGCGATCTCGGGTGTCTCGGATGGATTACTGTAATCTGGGTAGTTGCCCGTCAATCGCATGGTTCCTCCCATGTGAGTGCTGTAGGCTGTAGCAACCAGCAATTCGTCTCCCGTGCACATCGTAAGCCGGGGATAACCTAGATTATTTGGCCAGAGCTCCCCCCTACTACTCTCGGTCGAGTGCATAGCCCCCCCGACCGATCACAATTGGGGCAAGCGGTGTGAACCCACCAGGGATCTGGATCTCCGATGCTTAAGGTTTAGCCTATAGCGACGAGCAACCTGCCACGGCTGACGAGTCTTGGGGTTGGCCATTGATCTCCCCGCCCGGTTATGACTCCTGGACTGCCGGTGCCGCTGCCCCATCGGTATCAAGTGTTGCTGTAGCCTGTAGCCTGTAGTCTAGTCTAGCATGTGGCATGTAGCCTGATAACGCGGTAGGACGGACACCTGGCAGATCTCGGGCCAATCATCACCCCCATCGGTTGGCCTTTGTTCCGGCAGCCGAATGACGTGAGGATCGACTGTGGAAGCGGACACCAACCAGGTGTTGACCCGTTGACCCGTAGCTTAGTGGATGCGGGCGTGGCCTGAGATCGGAGCTTTTCTGGACTTCGGCTGCCTGCCTTTAATGTAACCGTGGGGAAGTCGAACCGGGACTAGGTAGTGACCGGCCCAAGTCTGAAGGGGCAGTAGTTGCTGAAAGTACTTCACCATAAGGGTCAGCAACCAAGAACGTCCGCTAGTTGAGCTACTAGTGAACTGTAGCAACAGGAGCGAGCCGAGCGAATGCAGATAGCGGATAACATGTGACTTGCGCCCATGCAGATGTGGCGGTGCCGAGGCACGTGATTGGCACGAGCCGCAACGGGGCCCCCGCCACAGCCCAGTCTTATCCTAGGGCGACTTCTCTTATCTGCAAAACCTCAGATTTGCTCCAGCCCGACCGCCACTCCACCCCGACGACTGTCATCATCCTGCGCACTCGCCATTCATTCATTCATCCTCCGGTTCTCCACCAGGAATTAATTGCATTCCCCTTTTTACTTTTTCTAATTACCCAACAATGTCAGACGTCGCTGCCCTGGAGGCAGAGGTGAAGGAGTTCAAGCTCCAGGTACGTGCTTGGCCATCACCGTCTGGTCCGTGACTAACCGTCCCTTTCCCCCAGCTTGAAACCGTCCAATCGAGTTTGCAGGTAGACCCAGACAACACGGAATTGCAGAGTCTCCAAACTGAGCTGGAAGAACTTATAAACCTCACCGAAACATCCATTGCCGAACTCAAACCTCCCGCGCCTCCCGTGTCTCAGCCGCCGGCGTCCGCGGCCAAGGATAATAGGGCCAAGGATTCTTACGCATCTCAACCAACATACCGCAAACGGACGGTCGAACAGACGGACGAACCGTCAACTCAGACCTCCTTTTCCGTTAACGAGCACGTTCTCGCCCGGTGGGTGTCGGGCGACAACTCGTTCTACCCAGCGCGTATCACCTCCATCACCGGCTCGGCGAGCAACCCCGTGTACCTCGTCTCGTTCAAGTCATATGGGACGGTGGAAAACCTAACCTCCAAAGACATCAGGCCCATCTCCGGCAATGACTCGCGAAAGCGCAAGGCTGATGCAAGCTCAGGCAATTCCTCATCACAATCTCCGGCGCCGCCGCCGCCCCACTCGAGCGTGATCTCCGCCGCCGCGGACATTAACCCCGCGTTGGCCAACCAGGCGCGTAAGGAGCCGAGCAAGGTGAGCGATGGGCCGGCGCGCCCGGCCAAGGTGCCCCGGAAGGTGAAGGCCACGCGGGAGCTTGAGGCGGGCAAGATGAAGTGGAAAGACTTTGCCAGCAAGGGGAAACTGGGTCGCAAGGAGAGCATGTTCCGCACGGGCGACGGAGTAAATGCCCGAGGTGAGTAGACTCTTTTGATAGAACACGTGCGACAGCAGACTGACTGCAGTAGTGGGTTTCACTGGCTCTGGCCAGCAAATGCGCAAAGACCCTGGACGTTCACGACACGTCTACCAGCAGGGCGAAGAGGAAGGCTACTAGCTGGGCTTAAAGATGGATGGGCTTCACTCTGTTATTTTTCTGTCCCTACCGTGTGTCACATCGCTAACGGGCTATGGTGTCAGATCTAGTGAAGCGAGCCAGTCGTACATACTATAAAATTTTGATATCCAGACGCATCATCTTGGTGATGTGATGCGACATTGTAGTAACTTATGTCCATGTCTACTCTTGAATTTCTTTGGTTCTATTTGTAGCGTGCCAGCTAGCTGAATACCCTGATGATGATCACCTGCCACTCCACCAGCTACATATAAAGTGACGCCACGGATTTGTTATCCGTAATATGTCAGTGCTATTATACTGCCCTCTTGCTCTCGATCACTTGGAAGTCGGTCTCAATCATGATTCTGCCCTCGTCACTCTCGTCTTCTCTGCGCATAGAGTCCATCTCGACTCGGACAGTCTGCGTTGCAAGCAGACTCTCGTCCCAATCCCTGGGCTTCCTCACGGGAGCATTCCTCGTTTGGCTGGACAGCTTATTCTCCGAGCTACCCAGATACCTTCCCACACGCGAGCCGAATATCCGTTGGATGGTGTACCGCAGCAGGGGTTGCAAGGTAGGCAGACAGGCACAAACAATTCCGATGCACGGCTCCACACTGGACCAGATGAAGACATTTCCCATGATCCAGGTGATATCCACGGACCTGCTAAGAAACGTCATGTAATATATTCGGATGAGACTCGCCACGCAGACACTGCAAATAATGTTTTTATCAGTTTTCGGACAGGATAAAACATGGGGTCGGAAAGGCGGGCGATCGACACAACATACAAGCTGCCAAGTAGGAAAATGCTGCAAACCAGAATCTTCTGGGTGGTTCGCATGTGAAGCCTCCAGATAACAGGCATGGGGACTAGCAGAATGATCACGTCCGTGGTCACATTTGCAGCGGCGTTTCCGATATAGAATGGATAAAGGTTGTAGACGCAGCGGCCGCCAGCCGGATCAGCATACTGCGTCCAGTAGTATGAGACAGGCCGGCAACAGACGAGAAAGGCGATGGTGCAAGAAACCCAGTAGCCGATGGTCAATGCGACGCAGAACCACATCGCCTTGTTCATGCCGAAAATGCGGCGGTAGAAGAGGATGACCGAGAGCTTGATCAAGGGCACGGTGACGACGTATACGAGGACGTATGCGAACAATATTTGCATGACCTTGATCACATCATGCAGGGGTATAGCCCATACATGCTTCCCGAGACCATAGTAGCCTCCTGAATAGAGTTGGTCAGTACTCTTTGCTGGGTGATGGCCTGGCGAACGAACCAACAATCGTGGAGACGAAATTCGCGGTTACGGACAGCTGCAGTCATCCTAATCATCAGCATCGCCGTCCGGTGGTTCTGGAGAGGCAATATGTCACAAGCACATACCAAAGCAGCAACTATCATCCAATCATCCGCAGCAATGGAAGCCTGTTGCACCCGAGTTCTGGCGAGAAATCGGAGGGCGATGGCAATAGCCGCCAGCACGTATGTGACACTCACAGCTGCATTGTTGACCTCACGCCGGCTGGCCGTCAGGTCCGTCCCTGGAGGAGGATCCCCAAAGACGCTGCTGGACATGTCTGTTGCCACTTGCAGAGGAAGGCATATCGAGTGGACTGGAAGGCACCGCTGTGTCTTTAAGATAGAAATCCGGTTCTGACACACTACTGCGTCGAATCATAAGCTACAGGGCATGCAAAGAAGCGAACGCATCAATCACATTCAGCGTTCGGCGTGTGGCATGCCGCTAGGATGCTCTAGCGATCCTTCCGGCCCCTGACAGGCCCCTTTGGACCCCAAACCAGGCGGGCCGGCGGGTCCGTATCTTTGACAGCGGAGTGGCTTCACTCCCGGCGCCCTTCCTCTGCCATCTCAAAGCTTCAATTTTGACCCTTTTTTTGGGGGCCTAATTCCTACAAGGTCAATAAAGGTCTGACAGATGCAAGACTCTACTACCATGGCTATTTTCTTCTAATTACGCCCGGCGTCATATTGTATGGTAGACTCGCTGAGTCGATTTTGCGCTAATATATCATCCTGCGAATCAATCGGGCCTGTAGACTTACCCTTTAGGGTAACCACTAACTTAGGCCAGCCGTTTAGTTACTGAAACTACAAGGCTGCGGCCGGGGGAAATCCGGGAACAAAAGGACCACAAGGCTACCATATAACTAGTAAGGATGCCCCCTGTTCCGAAATCTTGGCTATTGCGAGTCTGAACCTGCGTGTCTGCAACTCATCTCGCAAACCCTGGGGCTTGTTCTGTCACCATTATGCCTTCCAGAGAGTCCGTCCCGACCGAATCCACAGCATATGCTGTAGATCCCAAACGGTTTGCTTTCACTCCCCGGAAACTCAGAGTCGTCTGCATCGGAGCGGGCTTCTCGGGACTGATCCTTGCGCACAAGCTCAAGCATGAGCAGCCCCTTGACTTTGTTGACTTCACCCTCTATGAAAAGAACCCCGAGGTAGGGGGTACTTGGTTTGAGAACATCTACCCTGGCGTGGGCTGCGACGTGCCTGCTCACAGTTACGTATTTCCCTATGAGCCCAATCCGTCCTGGTCACAAAGCTATGCCAAGGGTCCGGAAATCGAGGCATACATCCGATCGACAACGGAGAAGTACGGGCTGAAAGAGAGGATCGTTTTCAACACCCGACTTGTCAAGTCTGTCTGGAACGAGGAACGTGGAAAATGGATTCTTGAGCTCAAGCAGAACGACACAATGGTGTACGATGAAGCAGACATTCTCATCAATGCCGGGGGTATTCTCAATCGGTGGAAAATGCCCAAGATTGAGGGTCTGAACCAGTTCCAGGGCAAGCTAATTCACACAGCGGGCTGGGATCCAGCCTACGACTGGTCCGGCAAGAAGATCGCTGTTATCGGCAATGGCTCCTCAGGGATCCAGATCGTACCTGCGCTGCAGCCCAAGGCAGCCCGCATCGTCAACTACATCCGCCAACCAACATGGGTGTCGGTCAATCTGTGCCCAGACACGACTAAAGATGGAATGGGTACCAACTTTGTATATACCGAAGAAGAAAAGGCCCGGTTTCGGGACGACCCCGAAGGATTTCTGGAATACAGGAAGTTTATCGAACGCTCGTACGTTTACCCCCACCCACTGAGGCGATCTACTAATAACCCATCATCACACACAGAGTCAACACCGTTTACAAGCTGATGCTCAAGGGATCCGAGTACAATCAAATGCTATACACCGCCACGGAGCAACTAATGAGACAGCGTCTCAGCAAGAACCCACACCTAATCAAGAAACTCCTTCCAGATACTGATATCGGATGCCGTCGTCTCAGCCCCGGAGATGGTTATCTAGAAGCCATGCAGGAGCCCAACGCAGAATGGTGTTTTGATCCCATCGAGCGCATCACCAAGACAGGCATCCAGACCACCCAAGGCGAGGAGGAATTTGACCTCATTGTCTGCGCCACGGGCTTCGACACCACCTTCATCCCTGGCTGGGAGATGGTCGGCCGGAATGGTCGTCAGCTCGCCCACGACTGGAAGACCACCCCAGAGGCGTATTTCTCCATCTGCTGTCCGGGCAATCCCAACTACTTCATGTTCGCTGGGCCTAACTGCCCTATTGGCCATGGCAGCGTTCCTCAAATGTTAGGCTGGACTGCTGATTACATTCTGCAGTGGGTGAAGAAGATCGCCCGGGAAGATATTCAGTAAGATTCGCCCTTTACCTATAATGAGACCTTCGAACCACTAACAATCTCTAGTTCTGTTGTCGTAACCGACACTGCAAACCAGCTATACAACCGTCATGTCCAGGCAAACCTGAAACATACCGTCTGGAGCTCAGGCTGCACTGCCTGGTACAACAATGGCTCTGCCGTGACGGCTATGTATCCTGGCAGTGTTCTTCACTACAAAGGTAAATCAGCCTTCACCTATACCCTGGGGCTTGATTCACGTGCACTAACGCATTTGATAATCTACAGAGGCTATCTCTACCGTCCGCGGCGAGGACTTTGATATCCGCTACTCAAATACCGCCAACCCCTTTGCGTATCTTTCGAATGGTGAGCTGGAGTGGGAGAGAGCAGATGGGGCGGATTTGGCATTTTATTTGAGATAGGCTGGTCTTGGATGGGCTTATTAGTAATGTCATGTGTATGATAAATAATGACACTGGAAATGGTATTTCAATGCTTATTATATCCTGATCAGTCGGTGACCTTTTGCTGAATTCCCATAGTGTAAGCTAAATAGTCATAGTTATGAACCGTTCTTCTACCATAATTGATAATTATTGGGCATTACCAATTAGCCAGTAATTTTGAATTAGCTGGGAACCTAGGGAGTGTTCCGGGGTTTTGCGCCCGCCAGTGACTCTAGCATACGCCCTGCTTCGGTTTCCGCAACTAACCGCAGCCTCACCGGAGTAGAGGGTCAGACCAGTAGCCCTCACTGAGTCCTGTTTTTAAAGAGCAAAAGCAAACCATCGATCCCTCAAAGCTTAGATCCCTTAGAAGTGCCATTAATATGCCTCTCCCACTGCTGATCAACGCTCAGCTGTTCCTGATGCGGCACCCGCTCCCACGCCCTGCGAAACGTCGAAACCCTCGACTCCCAGTCCGATAACCTCTTGTCAATAAACGCCGCACTAGCTTCAGCACTTTCCCGGACCAGCTCCATGGGAATCATATGGCCACATGGTAGCACAACTTCCTCAACAAGTCCACGCGCTGCGCCCCCACTACCACCCAGACCCGTACCGGTTGCCGCCACTTTCTCTTGACGGGCAGCCGGAGAAGACAGATCCGACTGTTCCCCAAACAGATAGAGAATAGGTGGCTTCAAATGGGGCAGTCGACGAAACATCCATGCAGATTCAGGTCGATAAAAGGGATAATCAGCATCGTGGTCATCCGGATGCATTTCTTCCTCAGGGTTACCGCGGGGAAGCCCGGATCGCTCGTCGACGTAGGAAGGCCGTACGAAGTAGAATAACTCCTGTGCCTTGGTTGTAGTCAACGTAACTGCGGATGGCCCAATGTCATCTGTGTTTGGGTGTAATGGGGTCGGAAGGTCTCGAAGCCCGTATTGGATCCATCTCTCGAACACACGGGGATCCCACGTCCGGTAGAATGGATTCGATTTGAATTTCGCTGCTGCTTGCTCGCGCGAGGCCCACAGGTCTCGTCTGTATGTAGATGCCTGGGCGAATTTGCGGCCTGGGTTCTCGCGCTGTATTACTGGGTCGAGGAGGATGAGACCTTCGAAAAGACATGGGTGCATCAAGGAGAGATGGGCTCTGTAAATGCCACGAGTTAGGAGAGGGGGCTTGTGGGGAGATAAGATGATGCTCACAGCTGCATCCCGCCCATGCTGTGACCAATCCCTACAAGCGGTTGAGGAATCTGGTCCTGGAATTGATTTATCATGAAAAGAAGATCACGTCCGTGATCGAGCCAGTCGGCTAGAATGGTGTCAATGAACATTTAGATCGCTTGTACTGTCCGAGGTGACAACTCACGATCATGGCCTAAGATCGATTCATTCAAGATACCGCTCTGCCCCTGTTGGGCAACATCTGCAATCCAAATCGACCGGATGCGTCTATTTTGACTTGCCAGCTGCTCATGAATATCATCCCAAAGAGGCTCGTAAAGCTCCTGTACATGGGTCAGTACATATCGCGCGTAAAGTGCTATGGAGTTGAGTCACCTTTGGAAAGGCATTTGCATGCGCCCCAATTATAGTGACATCGCCTTCCTTCGGCTGAGGATTATCGATGGGAATGTACTGCTTAACGGCAAGTCGTAGCTCGCTTTCATGTCCGGCTTTCACGGCACCCGGACGCTGTCGGACATTTTGACACCGAGCAGTGTGCTCGATGACGCGAAAGTGGGACATGTATTTCCGACTAGGCTGTATGACGAGTCGGTTGATCGATCGGAAGCTCTTTGGCTGGATCAGCATCATGAATAGGATGCCGAAATATATAGGAAAATAGAATACAGCCTGGCTGTGTAATATATAGGGTCGGGTTCCCTCAGAATGAGCCGAGGCACAGAAAGTTGCTACACTATCCATGCATTATTCTACTTAGTAAGCTATTTCTCCAATTTGGAGAAGGGGAATATCCTACCTGCCAGTTATGTGTTTATGCACTTTGCATTGAGAGTATTTCTCGTACTATTGGTGGTATTAGCATGAGCTTATTATATTTAGGGCGAGTCTAGCGCAGATGCTGACGATTCCCTGATGGCTGGCAGCGGAGCTTGCTACGAAGACAAGTATGTTCAAGGTAATGCCTCGGATGGTATTTACCAGTGGAACTTGACAAAGGGTTCACCAAGCAATTGCATTCCATAGAACCAGTAGGACCTCTGGAGATTGTCTGATAAAGTTCGCTAGCCCCTTCAAACAGGGAACAGACCACCGGGTAGAGGAAACTGGATCTTGCTGATAGTCAGGCAGTGTTAATTTTGCTCAACTCGAAAGACGTGGCGAGATCCCAGGCTTCCGCGAGTATCTATTTCAAACGAAAACATAAGCGGTCTTAGCTCGAATATGTAATTTGCCCACAAAATGCCAGGACACTATTGCAGTATAGCAATTCCAGAGAAGCATCCTTCTCCTTGAGTTACCACTGTCTTCTTCCTCCCGCATACCAGATACACACATCCACCCAAGTCGGTGACATAAACACCCTTCTTCGTCAGTTTCAATCCAATAGGTTCATGGAACTGCGTCGCCAGTAGTTCGATCTTGCCTCCCAATGTCTCTTTATCGGTATCGCCACTAACATCAACCCGATTCAGGGAGCAGCCCGTAGGATGCTCACCGCGATCCGTCCAGTAGAGCATGTGTGTCTGAGTATCATACTCCAAATCAACCGGCTCTGGGAGTCCCTCTAACAAGCACTCAATATCAGTTCTGCTGCCGGCTGTCTGCCCAGCAGGGATGTCCATCCCAGCCCGGAAGATCCTCCCTTTTCCAGATTTACTCGGCCCTTTCTGGGTCCAGTAAATACGCCTATTCACCCGATCAAGGGCTACACCGACACAAAATCGCATCATATCCTTCCTTTCAGATGGTACTTTCGAAGACCCAGACTGGATAATAATCTGATGACCAGTCCCATCAAAGTTACATCGGTGTAAACTCAGCCCCTCGCGATCGCAGAAATATAAATTGTGATCCACGTCGTCGACAACGAGCTGCTTTGGTGTACGCACAGTCCCGGGCTTCAAAAGCGTGCGAACATCACTCCCATCGAGGTTAGCTGACTGCACAGACCCGTCACAGGCAGATAAAGCGTGCCCCATGCTCGTCCAGAACATCCTTCCACACGAACGAGAAATATCAATTCCATCCGGATACGATAGCCCACTGACAAGGGTAGTCATCTTTCCACTCTTTGGAGACATTGCGAGAACACGACCCGACGTTGCAGCGTCACTCACTGCGTTATTCTCCCCGATACCAACATCCAAAACATAGAGTTTCTCAGACATACCCTCCTGCTCAGCGGGATACAAACCTCCCAAATCACACTTATCACCTATTCGCCCTTTGTTGATATAGTTCTCTCGTAACCAATTAACTGCCTTATTCTCACCCGTCCCCCTTTCCTGAATATAGTTATCCTCGATAGCTGCAACTGTATCCAATCCGATCCGATCCATCAACTGACACGGCTGGTCATTCGTGGGGCGCTGAAACATTTCTTTCCACAGGAAGTCAATCTCGTCGGGGGTGCTGACCCCTTCAGCCAGAATGTTTAGGATTTCTCGTTTGATGGCTGCCCAAGCACGACCCAATACAAACCTGCACCATATCAGAACTAAATAGCGTATAACCGAAAAGGAAACAAAACATACCCAGTACTCTCCCTCCGTACCCTAATCGGACACATTCCACACTCCTCCAACACCTCCATCATTCCATCCATCAAGTCCTCCCCAGTCCAACCACAAGTCATCACCTCCACTATTCGTATCTCCGGTGGCATAGTGAAGTGCATATTCATCACCCTCTTCTTTCTTTCCTCGATCAAGTTAGGAACCATAAGTCTTGACTTAAGCGAACTCGAATTCGACGCGAGAATACAATCCACGGGCACGTATCGATCGACTTCCTCGAAGGTCTTAACCTTGAGAGGAAGCTGTTCTGGGGTTGCCTCGACGACCAGCCATGCATTCTCAACCGCACTCTTCATATCCGAGAAGAGAGATAACCTTCCCCGCTCAGGATGTGGCAAAGGCGTCAGCACAGTGAAAGCCTCCTCAGAGGATTTGATAAACGACTCCGCGGCAGAGAGCGCATTCCGATCAGGATCAAAAAGATGCACTGTGTAAGAACCAGCGAGGAAAACAGCCCCAATTCGACGACCGAGAATACCCGCCCCGAGGACGGTCACTGGTCTTGACGAGTGGCAGGTGTGGGCTTTGTGGAGCGTCATGGTGAGTGTGCATGTGGATATCAGTCGAAGTCGGAAGTATTTCACTGCTAGCTTATGTCGCGATTATTTATTCAGGTACTGTGATTTCAATTTTAATGTTGGCTACGTAAAGTAGTAGAAGATGCTGATATACTTCGTTAGTGCGTTCAACATCCTGGTTTTCGGCATGCCGATAACCGGTTCTCAATGTCAGGAAACCCGCACGGAGATGGATCCGGAAAGGGACAGGGCAGCACAGAACCGGGTTACTAGAGTTGGACCTGGAATACCAAAGTGCTGATCGGATAATTCTTCACCTTGGTCGTTTTGAGTAGTTACTTTTTAGGGTGTAGAAAGTTCGATGTCGTCATCGCGAACTCTGTTTTGAATTTTTGAGGAAGTCGATCGATCATACCGAGAAATATTAAGGAGGGCCAGGACAGTAGTAGTTAATATGCTTTTGGTCAATAGCGGCCAGGATGGTAAGCCTTTTAATAACAATATAACCCACCCGTCAGAATAATAGATATATTAGGATCATAGAACGACCATTCGATCGATATTTGTATACTGCATAGCTATCATAACGTGTGTGTCTAAACCGTTACATCTAAAATTCATAAATTATTTCCATCTCATAAAAAAACAAAGATCGGCATGTGCCCATACTCATCCTCACCAGCAATCCAAATCTACACCCCTAGCTGACTCGCCACAACAGGATCATTCCAAAAAGCGCACCTCTTCACCAAATCCTCATCATACGCAGCTCCCTTCCCACTGCCCGTGAACCTCATCCTCGGCCCACCCAAGACCTGCAACTCAGGCGTCGTGGAACTAGCATTCGCCGCATACGCTTGCTCCCATCCCTTAACACTGCCCCTAGCACGGCTCGGATTGCCATAGTAGGCAAACGAAGCCCAGCTGGCACCCATCTCAGACGCAAGCTCCCGATCCGACGACGTCGATACATCCTTGAACAAGCCGTTCGTAACAGAGTTAAACAGATACATAATGTCACTAAAGTGCGGAACACCGTAATACGTCATGCCCAAGTACTCAAAGACCTCCGCAAAGGCCGTTTGGTTGAGTGCGTAGAGGTAGTTCGAGACCTTGGACGGGTCAGTGGCGTACTTGACGTTCGTCTGGACTGTCAAGAGACTGGGACAAGTAAAGTCCAGGTCACGGTGCATCTGGCTAGCGCGGAAGTACTGCGCGGAGATGTTTCCGGATGGGTCCGGGGAGAATTCTGACACGGGGTAGAGGTCCAGGGCTTTGGCGATGGAGGCGTTGGAGAGGTTGGGGTAGCTGTCCTGGAAGAAGGCGGCGATGTCGGATGAGGAGTTCAGAGTTGTGGTTGTGAAGAATGAGCCGTCATTCTCGCACCAACCAGAGATGAGGTCGATGTTGCGGGAGAATTGGCCCGTTCGGAGGAGTTTCGACGGAGCATCGGGGATGAAGGGTGAGGGGGCAGCGGGGATGAAAACGTCCATGCCGCCCATGGAGTTGAGAGTGAGCTCGTAGGCGTACGCTGTGTTGAGGAGAGTCTTCATGGGGAGACGACGAAGACACTCGAGCTCCTCCTGGCTGGAGGACGCGGTGCAGTTGACCAGGCTGGTTAGGGTAGCTGTGTGCTCGCCTGACTTGTTGCTGGCCGTTCCGGTGTCGGCGGTGGCGCCGCCTGATTCCATAATTGCGCGATGGAAGGGCACTTTGGACTCTTTGCCGCCATAGGCAGTGATATGAAGTCCGACGCTTGTTGCGCCATCACTTTCGCCGAAGATGGTGACCTGGTCTGGGTCGCCGCCGAAGGCTGCAATGTTGTCCTGGACCCACCATAGGGCTAAGCGCTGGTCCAGCAGACCGGCATTCAGGGAGTTTGATTCGTTCAAGGCGGGGGATGAGGCAAATCCGAAGATACCGAGACGGTAGTTCATAGCCACGTAGATAACGGGAACATCTTTCTGGGTAGCTCCGTAGACCAGGAGGCTTGGGTCATAGGCAGAGTCATAGATTTGGCCGATGGTGTCGCCGCCGCCGTAGATCCAGACGAGCACTGGTAGACGGTCTGAGGAAGTCGTGTTGAGTGGCCGATCAACGCGCAGCGTCAGACAGTCCTCAGAGATGGAAGTGACATTGTCGAAGATGGGAAAGTCAGGAATAGGGTCCTTTTGTTGAGGACAAGCTGCGCCGGACTGGGTGGCATTCACCACGGAGCCGGAGGGATAGTTGTATGGTTTCGGAGGAGCAAAGCGGTTGCTCCCGCTCGTGTCTTCACCAAAGCGGATATTGAGGAAGGATTCGGTCAAGTTGCTTGCCGATCCCTTGAACCAGACGTTGGAATCATGGAGGTGGACTGTAGGACCTGTGCTTGAGGGCAAAGGGCTGGCAAGGCCCCATGCGCATATTGCCCCGAGAAGAAGAGAGGAATGAGAAAAATGCATTGCTGTGAACGAGTCTGGTTTGGAAAATAAATTCCATTCTTGCAGAAATTGACGGCTTTATATATAGCGAATTGCTCAGCCTCGTGGCAGAAAGATGGCGATGATCTGGCTGAGGCAGTGAGACTGAGGCGACAACTCGTGATCCTGGCCGGTCCTAATTGGCCGGACGTCAGAATATCCGTTTCTGGAAAGCATCGCGAAGATCCCAACAGGATGCTAGGCTTCTCTCTGGGCTCGCTAAGTGTTTGGCATCAGCACTACTCCGTAGTGAGCTTCTTTATCTGAAAGCTGTGATCGGCACGCTGCGCCCCACCCCGCGATCCCTGTCAGCCGGAGGAAAGAAACAATGCGGTCTGACTCAGCTCCATCATCTTGAAGTTGTCTTCAATCTTGCCTGAACCATTGCTGTGGGCGTTCTATCAGAACACTTAAGTGTTGAGTATTGTTGAACTATTTTGAGTCGATAGAAGAGGTTGCTAATTGATGCAGTCGCAAGAACACTCTGCCTTTCTTATCTTCTTTCTCATGTCTTCAATCTGGCGCCCCTCACCTGCTCAGGAAGGAGACTTGTAAGATTGAATCTCTGCCTTTTGCCTGAGTGTTGTGATACCAATTATGAGCTTTTTATTCTGCTTTAAAATGTATATTATGAAGGAAAGCGTACCTTTTATTTCAATATTCTCAAAGCGAAATCGATTGTCATCCTCCTAGAATCGAAAATCCCCTTTAGAGTAAGTTCATGGAATACAGTCATGACAGCTTATAAAGATCCAAACATTCAGTATATATTTTGATCACATGTGTCTCAGTCTTTCCAAAAACCTTTCAATGTACTTAGGTGAGGTTATATGAATGAACAGGTTGAGCGTGGGAGAAATGCTGTATATAGATGTAATAAAGCGGAGTAAAAGGGGTTGAACATCGTGCATTCCGAATCTATCAGGGTTAACTGACTGAGGACGACAAGTAGCTTTCAATACGCCTATTTTCACTCATGAAACCTCAACTTCAATCAACATTTCAAACTGTTGCCGATCCGGCCAGAACCTACAAATCCGCAATCCCACATCAGTGATCAACCTCCTCCAGTCCCCTTCCGTCCGCTCAGAACCCGCCAGCAACGACATCATCTGCACATCCATCGCAGCCTGACTCATACTCGCTTTCACGGGTGGAAGAACAATATCGTAAATCAGGAGTTTCGAGTATCCCTTCTTCATAGCATCCCTAGTATGAGTGAGTATGGTTCGGGCATGTTCATCCGACCAATCGTGCAAAACGGCATGCATGAAATAGATCCTACTGCCTATAATTGTCTCAGTTAATCATTACCTTGGAAATTTGAGGTCTAGGTATGAATCGGACCTTGAACCGGCTGCGGTTGGAAGAAATCATGCACCATGGGTGTGATCTTCTCCTCCAGCGGGGGCTGAATCTTGTCTAAAACATCGGGGAGGTCTTGCAGGACCACCGATTCGCGACGAAGCTCTGGATGCTTGTTCACTAGGTAGGAGATGTCAGTACCGGTGTTTCCGCCAATGTCGACAAGAAACGGAGAGTGGTCGTTGGGTTCGCCATCGTGCAGGAGCTTGGCTGTATCGTAGATATCAGTCCACGGAGTCTTCAACGCCGTCCAGCATTCCATGTGGCCCATGAAAGCTTCAAAATGTGAGGGGCTCTGCTCTACTCGACCGAAAAAGTTTAGGCCAGCGGGGTCGAAATCTGAGTAGTTGTTTTTATTCATGTCGGTTGGTTCTTGGTAGGACGTTTTGGCCAGGTAGGTGGGGAGATTGTATGCCGCGGGGAGATATTGGTATGTTCTGCAGGAATCAGTTCTGTGATCAAGGGTATAGATGGAATCCGCGTACCCTGCTTGAAGCGTAGCCTTGATCTTGGTGCTGTCGTCGCCAATAGCGTACGAGAACGGGGTGGACTTGTATTTGTCGGGTCCGGTTTCTTCGACTACGTTGAAGGCTGCTAGGAGGCGGAGGAATCGGCCTGCACAGGTAACATTGTTTCAGCACAGAAGAAAGAAAGCAACGATCACGACCAGAAGAAACTTACGTAGGAGGTTGACATCAACATGAGGCGTTGTCAATGCGGCAAGTTCATCCACCGTCAATTCACCTCCTCCAAGACTGGTCCAGGACTTCCAAAGGTTCAAATCTATGCACGTTTGCAAAGCAGCAAAAACAATAGGGTTTTCGAAGCAGAAACCGCACGCTCGTTCATGGGGTGTTTCCACCCTGTTTAGCAGTCGGTAGGCTGCAGCGCGAATCGCGAGGCGATCGACTTCGTCAGTGCCAGACGACAGAGGTTGTACTGCATCGAGGGCAGCAATGATGTCTTTGGCTTGGTGCAGCATGGTGACTAGCTTGCGATTTTGGGTTTAGGCTTGATGGTGGTTTGGGGAACGCAATCATTAAGGGGGGGCTGATAGATTGGGGGACTCGGAGGCTTTTTGAGTTCTTGGACAAGGTGCCATAAATGACACGGGCCACTCAGCATAGGCCATTATTTCGAGCCATTGTCCGAAAAGCTCCTCGCCTCCGCTAGGCTGTGAGAGTCAAACAACCTTTTCGGCTCGGATAATCCACCTTATAGAGTATAGTGTAGTGATCTGATCACAGCCGTGCCAAACCCTCGCAAATCAAGGTCATGACAGCCTTGCATATTTTTCGTGGCCCGTTTTCTGATGCTTCAATTTGTAGGATATTGAAAAAAAAAAAAAAAAAAATAGGAAGCTTCTGACGCTGCTTTTTAGCTAGGGTGCTTTAAGTCCCCCGTTTCCCATTGATTCTGCGAAATACCAATTTCATGAGTGATGCTGGAATGCCGATCCCTACATTCTGTGGGGCGGGTGATGGTCCGTGACCTCCGCGGGCCATCTGGTCCGCTTTCCCCGGACAACGCACGGTGACACACCTTGGAACCCGTCCCGTCCTTGGAAGTTACTCTCGAACTTAAAAGAACTTATTAGACAGGTAAGACTGGGAGGGGTAAGAGATTAGCGAGATTCACAAGCAGATCCACAACAAAACATCACCATGATCTTGGTAAAGAAAGCTCATTTCAAGTTTAGAAGTAGGGCTATAGCATCAACTCACACAGAAGACGGGTTCCCATCACCTTGCGCTCGCGTTTCTCAGCATGCCACACTTCAGAATCATCAGTTCTAATACAACATAGATTGAATATCCCTTTGTTTTAGTAGGGTGGGTGGATCGTCTTTGGAGGTGAAGTTAAGCGAGAAATGTGGGTGCGAGGTCTTGGTAGGCATGTTTGGTGGTATACTGGGACTTTCGTAGCTTTGGACGGGGCATGAAAATGGGCTTGTCAATACACTTTGGCAGAATGCAAAATGATTGGTAGTGGCGTCTATTGGTCCACTTGTGGCAGATATGTCACAGACACTACTGCTTGATCTATGGCGGGAAAATACTAGAAGCTTAGTGAGACGTTCCTTGGTCAATCTGAAGCAAAATATGCTGGCAGTATAAAACCAAGGCTTGAATAATATTGACCCGTGACAACTACGGTAGCTTAGTGCTATCAAGGGTTGAATTAACTATTCTTCATTTGTGCTTCTCTGCCAACTAAAGGTATATTCACATGGTACATGAGTTTATTTTGGTCCTAGCACTGTATCAAATATCTACAAAGCATGGGAAGGGAAAATATGGCTCCCTAGTGAAACGCCGTCCGGCTGTGGAACGGCTCGCAAAGACGCTCACAGTCGAGAGTGAAAAAGTTCCACCCCCAGATACTTCAAGTGCTATCCAACCTCCATGACGAAGAAAAGCATCGCCCAAAGGAGTGCTGATAAGAATACCCAGGCTACCCAGGCTACCCACTGCACTAATCATACCCATCCGGACGCTTCGCAGTAGCTGGCGATAAATAGCACACCACGACTCCACCTCACGGCACTTGTACATATAAGATATTGAGCATAAAGCATGGTAAGGTTGAACAGCAAGATGCGCTGTTAGCCAGTGCAGCAGCTGTTGGAAGATTGCTACTGAAACCACTCGACCGAGGTGGCGGTGAATGATAGGGTGCGGTTTTAGCATGATAGAACATGAGAGCGGGCTTGTTGTTGGCTAATTGGCTTTCGTCTTGTTCTTTCGTTTGTCATCATGTATTGGATCTCGAACTGTTATTGTTTTGCTTGGTCTTGCATTTTGTGTTGCGTAGTATTTAGCTTCTGTTAGGATGTCTGCTGTTAGGATAGTCTGTTCGCGCCTCTTGTTCCACTAGATTACCAAGCTATATCTACGCCATCAGTGTTCAATATATATATATACGTAATGGCAGCCCTGCTACATAGACTATATTCAAATGTTGCATTTCTCCCGTTGAGACCCGGTACTAGTTAGTTTAATGTCCTCTTAAAATGCTATGTAGGAGTCCACGGTTAGAAGATTCAAAGCTCTATCCGATTCCAACTCCTCTTTATATTTGTGACCGCCCATCCACATAGCGACCTGATACCACCAGCTGTCTCTCCCAAACCTCATTGCGGTTGTGAATTCCCAATATTCAGGATACCAACCCCCAGATTCCCAGTCGAGAAAGCCAGACAAATGTCCATCATCATTGATTAGAATGTTATGAGCTTTGAAGTCTCCATGAGTGAATTTCACTCTATAAGGGCGTTGTTGTAACTGCCTCGCAGTAGCGAGGGTCTCATTATACTCATTAATAGATTTGAAACCGTGCTGTGATGCTGGCGCAAAAAGGTGCTGGTAGAATGATTTGTGATCTATGAAAGGGCCCATGATATGATCAGGGACACGCGAGCTTCGGAGGGCCGTTCCAATAGGCGAGCAGATGGTTTCCTGACTTGGCGGCTCCCACTCGCGCATAGCGTGGACGCAGGTTCTGAGTTCTTCGAGCCACGGACCCTCATCGTCAACCTCTAAAGGGTCATCAAGGTTCACTAGAGTGAATCCCGGTAATCTCGTCATGAGTATTGAGACCTCGCGCGTTAAGTGTGGGGTAACGTGCTCGCCGCAGCTGAGGACTCTTGGGACTGGAATGCCAGCCGCCCGAACCATTTGCATTGCAATGACCTCCTCAACACTCGTGCGATCTGTCCATTTCAATATAAGCCCGAAGGGCAGTTGAATAATTTGCGGATCGAAATATATCCCGAATAGGTAGCAGTAGCATCGGGAGACATGGTAGAGAAAACCATGCGCCTTACCGCACAGCCATCTGCTGATGGGGCCTGGTACGGCGGGAACCGGTGGGGTGGTTCTCCGGACAGTTGACACGGCGGGTGCCGGCCAGGTATAGTCCGGGGTTAGGATTGAGGGGACAAAGAAGGGCCACATGTTGGAACAGAGTCCTTTGCTGAGATGGAGAACGAAGCGAATGTTGTGGCGGGCGCTTCGACGCCGTAAACAAAGCGACACCGGACAATTGATCTTCCCGTCCTGCGGTGTGGTGATCCCTTTTGGAGATACCGGACTCATGGAGGGTCCACGGCAATAGATGCCATAATGATATAATGAGAAGGGTGGATCGAGAGTACAAAATGGTCCCGTCCTTCGTTGGTGTTGAGAAACTAGACAAGCTACGAACGCTTGGCGAGGAAGGCCGATGTGGAACGTGGAAAGGAGGGATTTGGGATTTCTAGGATGCCCGGAGGTAAGCCCCTTATCAGGAACAATCAAACTTCACCTTGCTGACGTGCTTTGCAGACATCTGAGGTACTCCACAGCAGACACGCTAAGGGCGAACTCGTTATATGTGGCGAACTCGTTATATGTGCCCAAGATTGAGGCTCCGGAGAGGGATTGGCCTGCCTCGATCATGCCCTTGAGTTTGGCCAGAAAATACAACGACTGACGGAAGACTGCATAAATAGCTACTTTAGGGTGGTCCCATCTTCTTGATATCACGTTAGCCTAAGTATTTATCTCTATCTTTTCCCCAGCCCACATCTTCACCGCAGGATATGATAACACCTTTAGAATTGATATCCGGTGGCTCCTGGTATTTCCACTTCATATAAGCAACCCACGGCGTATCCATGCCCCCGTTGTAGCTGTCACAGATATATCTATTTCGAATAGCCTATCGCATATTACCCACCTTATCGCCAAGCGTACTGTTTTCGAACGCCGATCATGCAGTGCTCGGTGCACGGGAGGACGCCCCAGTAGCCAGCACTACATTTGGTAATGTCCTTTTCGGGGATAGTATCATGGATTTCAACGGCCCGGGTATCCTTTGTCTAGGTTGAAAATAATTTTCCGATGGTGACTACCTGGCAAACTTTGTTCTTCACCTTGCACCAGTCAAATCAAGATGATACCGAGGCTTATTAAATTCATGATTTACAGTTTCTCAATACCCGTCAAACACATCTGAAATCCTGGAGACGGTTACCAACGGCGCATATCAAAGCCAACTGTCTCACGAGGATCCATCTCTTGTAACACAGCCTAATGCAGTAGCTCCATTACTCAATTCGATCGATCTTGTCATATGGAATCTTACGTTGGAAGAGACTTTGATTGGTGACTTCTGGCAGGTGATAATGCATAGCCGAAGGCCGTACGACCACGGGTAGTCGTCCGAAGATTCGATACACTTATCATCGCCTGGACATGAAACAGAACCTTTGCTTGCAGGGATTGATTGCAGACCATGTTCAAGTATCCATGGTGGTACACATTCCCAGTGCTCTGGTATAACCTGAATTGTGCTTATTTCTCGGCCACCTCGTGAATATACGATACGATTATGAGAAACCTTATTACGACCCTCTTGAAACAACGCATAACGCCAAAGAAGGAAGCAACTCGGATAACAAATCCATTCTCTCGTGTCCGTATACGCTTTAGAGGAAGGTTTGGAGTAGGAAGCCTGATTCAGGCTCGCCAATGGTCAAGAATACTGTCACTCTAAGATCACACGAGGTATCATGGGATATATCAATTATTCTTGTCTCTTGTATTGGCTGGCTTAATTTCTTGCGCACTCGTAGGCAATATTTGAAACGTAGGATTCAATCAACCACCAACAATGATTTGTGGAGCATTAAATTAGGATCAAGAACTGGAAATTCAACTCTACCCATGCACGCAGACGCTTATCTCGTAATGACAGTGGCTGTGCCAAGTACTAGTCATAGGACCCTTGACTGCCATGATAGAACACCGGGCCAAACCTAGAGGATAAGCGAGCAGAGCTGCGTCAGGGTCAACATAGCAGATATAAGAAGGGTGGCTCTCCACAGCTTTGATCAAAGCAACGCATCCTCAAGCAGAAATCTCAATATACACTCCGAAGCAAGAGAGAAATCATTCTCATCATGCAAATTATCTCCGTTGCCATTGACACCCTTCTGACGACCGCCAGCGCCATCAGAATCATCAAGCCCGCAGCCGGTGACACTGTTAACTGCAACCAACCATGGCAAGTGTGCTGGACTGCCGTTGAGTAAGTATCGCAAAGAACCCCAACTTTTTTGAAACATGGGCTAGAGCTCCAGCTAACGCAAATACATTTCTCAGCACTGATCCGCCATAATTCTGCCTCTACCTCACCAACTTTAGGGAATTTCCTCCCCAGATCGTTGACCTCCTCAACCGAACGTCCATCACAACTGATGATGGGGGCTGTGTGACGATTCCTCCGCCAAGCTGTCCCTCCCCCCTTCGCACGACGTATGTGGTAGATCTAGATAGTTCCCAGACACAAGTCAAGATTTGCTGACATGGCGCTTGCGTACTCTAGTCCATATCGCGTCTGGGCCGCTTCCTGTGCCGACCCCAACACTATTTACGCCTAGTCTGGAGACTTTACTCTCGTCGCTTAATTCCTTCTTCCACACAGAGGGATGAACACGGAGTATGATTGTAGCACGGAAGCCCGCCATTTGGTTAGCCAGCGGACTAAGGAAATGGTAAATCATGGTGAAATGGTGGAAAGATAAATCTTTAGCAAACCTGGCACGACTCTTGTTCTTTAACAGGCACGGGCAAATCGCAACATCGCTAATTGAGACTGGCTTCAACAGGCAGTTCTTTGCTTGAGTTTCGAATATTTAGTTTGAGTTCACCTCACTTGTTTCAAGGCATATCTATTACTTGCTTTACTAGAGGCCCCTTGAATCTTTAAGGCAGGAGGTTCGTGGGATATTCACAACTCAGTCGACGGTGCGGCACCAGTCGTCGTTCACGTAGTTTAGCTACCGAATGTCCCATGATGGCCTTATCTGGCATTTCACTATTCCATTAGAGGACTGGATGAGCAATGATAGTTACAAACTGGTGTAAGTAACTCTCCAACAACTGAGGGAATCGTATCTAGATCTGCAATCTATCAGCGCCAGCGTCACTATGTGCATTAACACGTGATCACTTTGGTAGCAGCTTTTGCTTACGTACAGCCTGACTACCCCTTCCTCGTAATTTGGTAAGTCAGTGGCTGGACGAAGGCGCTTCGAGGCCACCTTTTTGGCAATTATCACGGCGACAAACCATGATACGCCACTGCAGAAGATTCAGCCTTTCTAGCCCGTTTGTTGCGCCTTTTAAATCGATCATCTTGTACATCATCAACTTCAAGACCCCTTTGGTCTCCCCAGAAGTTCGACCCTATCTTTTTTGCGCGGCTGAACTCCACAATGGCCAGGGACCGTGTCGAGTATAACTGGATCAAAGGCGTGGAAACGCTTGAAGAATATGTACCTGGAGGCTATCACCCCATTATGGTTGGTGACATGCTACATAATCGGTACTACATTGTAGATAAATTAGATTCGGGGGCTATTCGACCGTCTGGCTTGCTCACGATACTGTCATCAAGCGGTACGTCGCGCTCAAAGTCAACACAGCAGACGCGCTCCCGCGTGAAGCAACAGTTCTTAGGTCTCTCTCAACGCCACGCTCCTCCACTTCGCTACCACATCAAGGACCCGATTTAGTACCAATTCTTTTAGATCAGTTCGAAGTACAGGGTCCTAATGGGACTCATACATGCTACACTACAGCTCCTGCACAGTGCAATCTTAGGGAGATCTCCTTCAGCCGCCTTTTCCCTCTTGACGTGGCTCGAGCGCTATGCTATGGACTCACACAAGCAGTGGTATATACACATTCACAAGGATACGTGCATGGAGGTTGGTCATGATGATATGAAAATGCCGAATCCTATGAGCTAATTTGATACACATCTTTGGCTTAGATATACACCTGAACAATGTTCTGATCAAGCCCCCATCTAATTTTGACACACTCTCCGTCAAAGAGCTGTACGAAAAATATGGCAAGCCTGAGACAGTACCCATCACGCGTTGTGATGGAAAGCGCCTCCCACCTAATGTCCCAACGAAAGCGGTTAAGCCCCTATTATTAGGAAAGTATGCTGAAAAACTGACGCTGGCCGACGTTCGTCCTCTTCTCAGTGACTTTGGTGAGGCTTTCGCCCCCGCCTCAGAAATTCGACTTGGGAAAGACTGCCATACACCTCCGGCCTTTCGCTCCCCAGAGGCCAGGTTTGACCCGCAAGGACCGCTCACATATTCTTCGGATGTATGGAGTTTAGCTACGGCGACCTGGAGATTGTTGGCATGAAGCCTATATTCAGTACGGACATCGTGCCTGATGATGAAACCGTGGCGCAACATATGGATGTGCTGGGACCAATGCCCCAGGAATGGTGGCAGCGCGGGGAAGGAAGAAGCAAGTTCTTTACGGAGGACGGGTGCCCTACTGAAGCCTATCTGGAAAACGAACGGCCTCCCTTCGAGGAGTCATTTGAGATAGACATACAAAAATGGAGGCGAAAGTGGAGGGGCGCGATTGAGGAGGAAGAGAAAGCCGTTTTCTTGGATGTAATCCGCAGGATGTTGGCGTTCCGGCCGGAAGAGCGACCGACAGCTAAAGATGTGCTTGAATCGGAATGGATAGCTAAATGGGCGTTGCCGGATTATGAGCGAAGTTTGAATCCTTCATGTTGATGTGATGTACATACACGAAGGTAACATATAAGTAGTAATATACGATGACTTAATAAGATGACGGGTACAGATTCTTTACTAATTTCCAGATACATATTATTATTGGAAGGCAAGCACAAACAACGAATCATAAGAAAAGGCGTGCTTTTCCACTGGCGATACACCACACCATTTACCGACTTCAGAGATCACCTTGAAGGTGGACGCCTCTAAATTTCTCGGCTGTTCCCCTATCCTCCGCTAGGGCATTGATCCAAGCGGCGAGACGTATGGCCGCCTTGAAGATTTGATCGTCAACAATAGGTGCAGCTACCTCATAGTACTTACCACCCAGGTCGGTCTTCTCAAGCCACTGAAGCCCCTTTTTCATCACGAAATCACAATTTAGCTGATTTGACTCCGTCGCCCACTGCATGATGCATTCCAAGGGTTCCTGGGTATTTGCACACTCGGTATCTGCTGGCCGCAGCTTGTTCTCTTGGTGGAGCCTATCGGCCCACTTGGCCGATGCCAGCCGTTCAGGGTTGTGTTTCAGACTGTGCTTTATGCCATTAATCTTGTGTGGAATGGCAGTATCCCAGACGGAGTGTAGGTTCCATCTCTTGGTGTCGTTGTTACAGTGATCCTTGCCATCGAAGCAGACATGAATATCATTCCCACCTCTGGCGACTCCTGTGACGTGCAGGGGTTGGTGTAAGTCCCCAAACAGGTGAATCAAAAACATCAAGGCTTCTTTCTGTTGGGTCATATTGGCTTCCCGATCATTGATTTGACGAGTCTGTGATGTAACAATGTTAGTATTTGGAACCGCTGATAAACTCAGGTCAGTAACCTACCATGTTTGCCATCTGTGAGATAATGCAACCCTTGGGAGGGCAATCGTGGGGGTATGAGACGAAACAGGACTTTGGGGGTTCATCATCTGGATCTGAAGCCGAATTAGATATATATCATCTTTTGTGATATAGTTCCCAGCGTACTGATATAATGCAAGGGTCTAGTTAGCGGTCGTTTCCATTTGATGGTGTCAGCCCACGTTGCGGCGTCGGAGATATCATAGTTCTTGTCGTTGGCGAGAAGCTCGTTGACGAGATTTGAGCCGGCATCAGTAAGGTATTTCTCAGCCAAGTAGGCTATAGCTCGGTGTCCAACGTCGCCCCACGCAATCACTGGTTGTGATGCCAGCGCAAAAAATGTGAAAAGGAAAAGAATAGCCTGCATTGCCGTGGTATGTGGCGTAAATCTGGCCGTTATATTGATGAAATGTGGGTTTTGAGGTACAAGGCATCAGACGTCAAGGTGTCGTCTTCTTATAATTGCTTTCTCCCTGATTGACAACTTGCGTAAGAGCAGCAAAGACAGTTAACTTCTAACTAAATAACAATGACTAGCCCGAAGCCGTCATAATGACATTGATGTCGATTGCAGTACGACCGCACCGTAGGTGCTCTCCTTCCAATGATAGGCTTTTAGTGTTGAGTTCTCCGCACTGCACATACGAACAGAAACTCTAGCTACACGAAATCTACTTCCGCAGACAGCCAGACTGCAGGGGCCCATGGTACATTATAGCTCAATCTGATCAGTTATCGATGCTTATCCGAAGCAAGAAACCATGGTGTGGCCCGATCTTGAATTCGAGACGTGGCCTATTCTTTTCAACTTTGTTTCTTCGGTGGATAAGGTTGCCGCTCACCCCACTTACTGCAAATATTCTCACAATGCTAAAATATTGAAATCTAGCCATGCTACATAAACCATGGATCCTTCACAATTTGTAAAGTTTTTGTTCACTTGTGCTATTGAGGGGACGAACAAAGAGGCCTTGTCATTGCGATCTTTTTTCGTTATACGATCTAGACACTATACTATGAGAGCGTACCGTGGCCGCCAAATGACATCTGCCATGTCTCGCCACAAACATCTAGTGACCCAGTCGAAATATATTGACCGTATGCCAAGTATATTAATTACTATAATGATATCCCTGAGTACAATACCAAGATTATTTTTTATTTTTTCTTTAGCTTAGTGAGATTAACACAGCGTAGCCATATCTGACAGTCTGGATCAACAATTCGTAAAACGGAACTGAGATGGAAGAGTACTCTTGCGTCACAAATTTTCCCATAGTTGCCTACCCAGCGTTGTGCGGCATTACCATCACTGTTAAGACTAAAACATCCAGCTTGGCTGCAAATTGCCTCAAACTTAATGAGCAAAAACTATTGGACGGCCTTCTGTGGCAACCTGCCGAGCCCCATAGCTTACTCCATCGACCCTTAGTCCCTCTTCATTAAGTAGGGTGATAGTATCGCCGTTGTTAGAAAGAGGGCAGTTTGACATCTCGAACTTTTTCATAGCTCGAGAGTCCAAAGCTGCATTTTGAGGGAGCGCTTGAACTTGACCAGCAGCATTATGAACCCTCCATGATGAGAGGGCTACTCTGTGGTTTGTAAGGTTTTCAAGCGTTACGAACTCTTTTTGTTTGGCGGACCGATCATCTCTGCCTCGTGGATTGACAAGTGCCTCCTTGATCGTTACCGAATTCTCAATAATCTCTTGGGGTAGAATGTCTGCCCAAGTAACGACGTGTTTTGCGAAAGCATGTCCATTATGGTCATCTGTGTGAGCGGCCTGGGATGCGAATGCAAGAAACACGCCAGTCCAGTGATCGTCGTACTCGATGAGGAGGCCACCATCCTGAAATACGCCATCATCTTTGACAAAGTGCGGGATATTGCCCTGGTTCATGTGGACGTTGTGGATTCCGTTTCTGGTGTTGAACATAGAGCCGAAAAGATAGATAGTAGCTTTGTGATGAATTGCCTTTTTTACTTCGGGCTCTAGAACGTCGATTATATCGTTATTCGTGCCAGGGATGTCGTGGGGAAGAACACGGCCGCTCTTTGTAGTGAAGAGATTCCCTCGAATATAGTCCAGACCTTTACCATCGAAATCGGTGATTTGATCAATTGGGTGGAAGCCGAAGTCCAAGCTAGATAGCTTCTCGGCGATGGGGTGCTCGACAATGTTATGATTTACCCAATATGCAAGCCGGGACTCCTTGGCTGTGGACTTGATGTTGATTGCTGCGCGGAATAATCCAGGAATCTCCCTTGGTTTTAGCTTATTTGGCGGGTTGCCCTTATGTTTGTGTCGGTATTCACGGTCAAATTGTGGCATTTTTGCATTATTGTCATGATAGTATAGCGAGAGGTGGGGGGATTTGGGGTCCTCGAAACGATCCTCGAACTCGTAGTGAGCTGGAAATGCCTTCCAGATTCCGTAGTCTTTGACGGGCATGGTTTTTGTGACAAGCGTGTCAGCCTGAGGATGTATAGAATTATGTTAGCGTTGGTGGGCAGCAAAACGAAGCTGAGACCCCTAAGTCCAAGTGCAACGGGTCAATTATACGTTCAGAGAGTTCTGACGAGGAGAATGTGGCACGAATCACACTTTGGCTCTCATCATCATTACCATTCCGTTTGTTCTAGTCTAGATCGGTCTACCGTATTGCATCTTTGGTGGCTGTCGTTCGGCCTCCAGCACGTTCCATGGTTTCTGTGAGCCAATATAAGCTTATTTTATAGTATTTCTTCACACCAACGCATTTCACGTAGACACTTGTACTGGATGGCTACTTCGACCATCCGAGTAGGATGTATAGAATAAGCAATTTTAACGTTCGAATCGGTTAAATCTATAGATAAACAGCCTTTTTGCGCACTAAAGGGAAGAAGGAGGAAGAGATGTCCAAGGAGGTAATGGTCTCTAGACTGACAAAAATTCCGCAAAAGCCGCATGGCTGTGCATGCAGGGATTCGTCCACTCATTGCCATCTTAGAGGCTTGTCGAGTATCACCCGGATCATTTTCAATAGAGCCTTACACATCATGCTGTCGCTGTTTCTCTTGAACAGCATCTCGTAAAGGGCTGTCAACCTCGTATTCGTCGATCCGCTAACTCTACTATTTAAAGTTATCCGTATTCAACGCCACCCCCTCATCGTGGGAATGGCATCCGCGTCTAACCTCCCATTTTCCAACCAAGTTTGTGCGGACATCCACTTATAATCCTCATGGCCCCAATAAATTGTTCTTCATCTGACTTTCCTTGTGATGAGGGAGGATGTTTGCGTTGTAGGATTCACTCCCTACCAGCTGTAGCCAAGGAACGCCGCGTCAGATCACCAATATCTGCTGGATACGAACAAATCTTGGCTTCGTCCAAACTTGCCCAGTCTGCGGGAGATCTCGTGTTCGTGGGCAAATGATTTGAGGCTGACTGCCTTAACAGTGGCTGGGGCTTAGCTGAGTTCTCGTCAAGTCTAAATAAATGGAATAGGGGTTCTACGACGATGTTCATGATGGGTGTGGAAAATAGCATGCGAAAAGCGGGCTCAGATCACAGGATAGCGGATCATCTATCGGATTAAACAATGTCACCCAAACGTCTTATCGTCTGCTGCGATGGTAAGTCTGCTCAGTAGCACTGCTGAACATGTCTATATCAGTGCTAAAAGTTGGTCGGTTGTTTCAGGTACCTGGAAAGACTCCACCGCAGATACTCGTCAACCTCCGTCCAATGTTACGCGGTTGACGCGCACTTTGAGTCGCGTGGCAGTTGTGAAGGAGAATGGACAAGACAAAGAAATTCCTCAGATAATCTATTACCAAAAGGGCGTCGGGACCGGCCTAGCGGACAAGTATTTCGGAGGTACGGTGTCTTAGACGTGAACCCGACCGTGTTCCATGGACATTTCTGACACATGCAGTAGGAGTCGCTGGGATTGGAATCAGTGCGAACGTCCGTGCCGCCTATGGCTTTCTCGTGGATAACTACGATGAGGGCGATAAGATCTACTTCTTTGGATTCTCTAGGGGTGCTTATACCGCCAGAGCGATCGCGGGTATAGTCTGTGAACTAGGGCTGTTGACACCCCGAGGCATGGACAATTTCGCCACGGTATATGATGATTTCTACAACCGAAAATTACCAGTGTACAATGAGGATGATCGCCGACAGCTAGGCTTCCGTGATCCTCTCCCGCGGTTTACGGTGGAGATTGTTGGGGTCTGGGATACGGTCGGTTTCTATAAGCCCTGGTTGTTCGGACACTGGTCCGGGGAGAAACTCGAGTTTCGAGATACTCTGCTTTCCAGGAAGGTCAAGTATGCGTTCCATGCCTTAGCACTGGACGAAGAGAGAAGCGCATATCAGCCCACGCTCTGGCATCTGCCAGAGAATGCTAAAGGTCAGGAGCTGCTCCAAGTGTGGTTCTCTGGGGTGCATACAGATGTGGGTGGGGGAGGACATGACCCCCGACTGGCCAATATTACCTTGGCCTGGATGATCGCGCAATGCACAAAGCATAACCAGTTGAGTTTCGATATCGAGGACTACCTCTTCGACCGTCCTCCGCGACCGTTAGAGACAGACACAGCGCCATGGGCGACGGCATTGGGGAAAACCAGTACGGGAAGTTTCGCTCGGACAGTGGAGACCATCTTGGGCGGGAAGTCAAAAAGAACCCCCCTCCAGTATAGGCAGGTTGGCAGTGGAGATCCGCAGCCTACCAATGAGATGATCCATGTTTCCATTGTTGACCGTGTTTTAAGCGGGAATGGAAACATGGCTGAAGCCGTACCCTGGCCCTCGCTAGTGATCAGAAACCCAACTCCTAATCAAGAATGGGTACTTGACAGTGGAGGAAGACTTGTGCAAACGCCAGCGCTGGAACAGGAGCTGTTTATAAAGGGAAGAATTCGCACGGTTCATGTGGATGAGATAGACTGATGTAACCAAATTTAAGGTATTTCATGTAGCAACAGGATGTTTAACCTTAGATGGATATATTTGTAACAAGTTCCTAGACCCAGGCGCATTAAGTCGGTAGCAGTCCTGATGATAACACGAATAGAAAGAGAAAGTTCCAATGACTGTTAAACAGAACATGCCGACATAGCGTTGAATTCAGAGAATAGGTAAGCATACATATCCCTTCTGCCCGAAGGTGCATACAATTCCTTCCACTTGTGTTTAACGTCTCAACACCAAGGATATCGACACACAACTGTAACAGAAAGGGCAGCTAATACTCCTCTTGTCCACTCTTTTCAACCTTCTCCAGCTCCTTCTGTGCCGCAAGAAATGGCTTCCAATATTCCTCACATTCCTCATAGTCTCCCTCCCTTGCCAAGTCAGGATTAGGCTCAACCAGGGAGAGCTCAGCGCAGTTAGCATCCTTTTCGGAGTCACGGAAACCCCCTTTGGAAAGTATAGGCGACCCCTTGAGTCTGACCAAATTCTGAGGCACAGGTTCATCATCTTCAACATACAGATACTTCGCATCGAGTAACTGATACCTTGCGGCCCATACAAGTGGTTCTTTAACTTGGACACTTTGCATTTGCAATTTTGCCCGTGCGACTTCAGCACTCGCACCTACTGGAGCTGCGGCCAAGAGGGCGAGTAGTTCAGCGGAGACACCGCCTCGAAGCCCAATCGTATTGGTATCTCCTATCAGACTCATGGTATCTTCCAACTCGTAGAGGCCAGTCAGATACCAAATTTTAGGTCGACTGAGTGCGTTTTTCAACGAGAATTTGTCGAGGACTAGCCATCTCTCGAGTGTTTCTCGGCAGCGGCCTGCTTCCAAGACTTTCTCAGACAGAAACTCTCGAGGACTGGAAAACATATTAGTTCACGCTCAGATCAGTTTAGTAATGCGTATTTTGCATACTCTTTCAGCTCGACCTTCCGCCCTGCTTTCGCATGTACGAACATTTCCCGGGACTTGAGGAATGAGGCTCCCAGGGTAACTAAGTCAAGAGCATTGACATCACATGATATATGAATCGATGGGTTCGTTCGGAACCACTGATTGTCAATTCTAGTAACGTTTGCCCATTTATGAACTTCGTCCACCCTATTAATTATGTCAGTATGTATCGAATTTCGTGTACGAGTGTCACTTCCTACTCGAGTCTCACCCCTGGACAATACCACAAGGAATCCTTTATCGGTTTGGAGTATGTTCCGAAAGACAGATGGCCGAGACATAGTTGCTCGGGCTTGTGTCCAAAACCGTAAAGAAAGTAGCTTTTATCTTCTTTGTCACGCATGTTGACCTTGCGTTTCGAAGAGTTGGAAGAGATTGAGACTGTGTTTGAATTCTTCAGCTCCGAAACAGACATCGTCTCGTAGAAATAGTCGATCTGACAATGCTTGTAGCATAGTCTGAAGTGTTGCGTTTTCGTGATCAAGCCGTCTACGAGGAGAATGGCTTGTCATGGGGTTGGAATCCATGGTACAGAAACGAGGTGGACAGCTATGGTCGCTCACACGGATAGCGCCAATCTTCCAATCTCAATCCTTCTTGGTACCATGGATGCACCACGATATCCAGCACCATGTCCATCTGGTTATGGCTTATAGCTAATAAGCTTTGATTCCAGGCTTGGCAAGATTTCTAAGAGTTCTAGGCAGCTCCAATGTCCATTTGAACGACCTCAACGCCGGTTCAGAGTAGTAAAGGCCAAGCCACAAAGTTATGCTGTAGTAGATACTAACCCCCTCTATCAAGCTTCTTTGCTTCGTATGATAGCCAGAAAGGTTATATATTTGCTTAATGCAAGGGTTTTGCCTACCCTGGCTGTCTCGCCAAGAGACTTTTGTTGGTTGTTCCGCTAGTCGTTGATCGTGTTCGCAATTCAGATAGTGGAGTCAATCTCAGAATGGAGGGACAACCCCACTTGCGACTGATTTTCATATTCAGTTATAGTAGAACAGTTTCCCTACGTACCTCTTGTGTTTAATCATAGTACTATTCTTCTACACCCCACGTCTACAAGATATTCGTACCGCTGTAGTAGCAACAATGGACTTCATCGAGGTCTGTGAAGTGTTCGGTGGATCCATCTTTTCCGACGAGTATCGCGGTAGCTATGAGGAAGCAGACAGGAAGATCAGAGCTCTTGGGGGCAACACTCCCGCAACGATGGATCCAACATGTCAGTACGCCAGGATTCTACTTCTGCGAGCAATATTCCACATGCTCTCCGGAAACTTCCCCAAGGCTCGAGAATGTAATCAGTCTCTTCAAGATTTACAGCACAGAGGGCTAGACGAGAGATGGAAACTACGAAGCAAAATATACAGCTTCTACGGCAATATGTTACAGTATCGGCTCCCTCTCATCCGTTTCGCGATGATTCCTGGTGATCCCTACGAAGGCTTGAAGAAGGATGCCTCCTACCTGAAGAACATGTATCGCCAGGCGCAGCAAGCCGGGATGGCCATATCATCCTGCGGATCAGCGGAAGTAGTTGATATGCTCGAGCAAGCGCTGGTACTAGACTTATGGAATTTCCTTGACTCTTTTCACTTTTCATTTCTTGCACACCCTAATTTCACGCCGTGTGTTACCACAAAATCTCTCCCGCAAGACCATCTGAAGGGCATCAGCTTTGACAATATGCAAGTGCCTTACTTGTCTACCACATTGGCTGAGTCCATGAGTCGAATGGGACCTGTCTTCACGAATACCCTGGAGAGGTGGTCTATCGACATCGAGTTAGCGAGGGGATCGGAAAATGGAGGCAGCAGTCTCAGCCAACTCGGATCCGAGTACGAGAAGGTTAATGACTACGCTGGCCTAGGCCTTTGTAAGATAATAGAGGGCGATTGCATCCTATCTCCCTCGTACACTAATCCCATAGCCATGAACCTGATCTGTGAGATCCGAGAAAGTGGTTGGGCAAATGTGGCTTGGGACGCGTTAGAGGAGACCTTCTCATTGCACAACGATAAGGCTGCTCAGGAGTGCTATTCTCAAGCTCTTTTCTATATGGAAGCTGCAAACGCACCGAGAGGCCAAGCTGCTGTATACTTGCGCAGGGCTTGCCTGAATCATGCAGAAGGCATATCGTCGAAGGCAGGTGCGGACAACGAGCAGTTCCGCCAAGCGGAGAGTGATTTGTTAGCTGCACTTTCGCTTTTCGCGCATGACGACATGAACTCGCAAATTGTTGTTTGTCATCAGATTCTGCTTGGCTGTAGCCGTGGCGCATCTGAATTAGCTATAAGCAAAGCAAAGTACTTGGGAGGCGAATTGCACAAAACGGAAAGCAGCGCAATGTCCCACTTCTTGGGGATCTTGATGCTTCGATTCGCTCACTCACAGTTCTCACGCAATGGGAACGTCGACGTGGCAGCTACCTGTTGTCAATGTGCCATTGCCTACTACGCAGCACTCGACAATCCTCTGGGTTCTCTTTGGGCAGCTGAAGCATATATTACTCTTCTTAAAACGACGCACGACTGGACCTTGGCGGAGGCAAAGATTAGAGAAACCATTAAGCCTGCTGGAATCCTACACGCTGCATTTGCATACATTGATGGCATTCTGAGTCGGGACGCCAACCACCAGCATCTTCAAGTTCCAAGGGCTTCACTTTTGCTCGAATTTGACACGCTAGTCAAATCTGTGTGTTCTATGACCGGAAGGGAAGCTTTGAGGGTAGGGTGGGAAGAAGTTCGCCAGGCCCTTCAGCCGAGAAGACCAGTTAGTACTATGAAATTTTCACCTCTTAGTGCTGAAGCAAGAGCTCATGTGAATGACCCGCTACTTGGTTGTGGTGAATCCGAGCAAGAACACTTCATCCGGACATATGAGACCCGAAATTCCTTTATTACTGCGTATTTTACCTCCATTGACCACAGTTTTGAGGCCATCGGAAGAGGTGACATTGACGCTGCCGAGGCCCAGCTTCAGACATTTATCCACAGCTGTGATTCTCAAAACCAATTGAAGGAAAGAGAAATACTTTCCCACAAAATCCCAGCCTTAGCACAACTAAGTAGGGTGGAAGAAATGCGACAGGAGCTCCCGCGATTTCTATCCGACTGGTTCTCCACGGATATTAGGGCGGATAGCCGCCTATTGTTTAATCTTCGTAACATGCCCAGTGATGTTCGGGAACACGCAATGGGGGTGCGTGCAAATACAGCACACGAAGATATCGCCATGTGTTTTATCGCCCAGGCGTGGGATAAGGGGTCCGTGATACTGAGAAGAATCTCGAAGACCTTACCCGAGTTCACTACGAAGATAAGAACAGAGCCAAAGCCCGATAGCTGGCAATTGCTCACTTTTATTGGCGCTATCTACGAACGAGAAGGGAATTTTGAGAAAGCCCTTGACAGTTTTCTGGGTGCTCTGTATCAGCTTGAGAACTTAAGATATCTAATCCCTAACCCCGACAGCCGGCGCAGGGCCTATTCATCATTACACACCGCGGAATTGTTTTGTGGACTTACGCGAATATCGCTCGCCATGTCATTGCAAAATACTAAACAAAGCCCACAGGAGTGGCGTCTACCGGCGACTACCTGGAGAGACCAGGCCCTTATTTTCATGGAGCAGGGGAGAGCGAGGTCATTACTAGAAATACTACAGGCACAAAAGTCCTCGAGTACCGAAAGCATCCAGAAGTGGATGGACCAGTCATACAGGGCTCGTGTGCTATCTACATTGGTACAGTCACGATGTGATCCCCAGGACGAAGCTGATGTTACCAAGAGGGCTGCTAAGGTAGCCAAGGAGCTTGGTATTCCCGATAATTCATTCGATCCCGTGGAGGAGGCACTCAAAGGCTGGCATGATACAACCGCACAGGTATATAAGAGTACAATGTTTCTACCGGATACGCGTGGACTTCTCGGCTCCATTCCTTCTGGCTCAGCCGTCATTGAAGTGGCTATATGTATGAGCGGCATAATGGTTATGTGCATCTCATCGGAAGGCATTCAATCTGTCCATCAATCCAGCCTCGGAGTTTATCAATTGCGAAGGCTCGTGGTAGCATACCTCGGAAAAATACAAGCCCTCCTAAAAGATCCAGTTGGTGACAAGGCAGCCCAGCTAGCTGCGAGTCTGAGTGATATTGCTGCAATCTTATCTGCGCAATTGATCAAGCCATTTACTGCAACCATACGCAAAAGTAACGCTATTATCTTCGTACCCACATCATACCTTAATGTCTTCCCTCTGAGCGCGCTGATCTTGGATGGGGAGCCTTTGATTCTCAAAAAGCCAGTGTACCAAATCCCTAGTCTATATGTTCTCCGACACCTCTCGCATACAGCGTCAAACATACCGCGAGCTACTGGAGCCTCTGTGTTGGCCGATTGCGGAACTGGTCGGAAACAGTTGCATTACGTTGGTCCGGAGGTGGTCTCTATCTGCAACTCTCTGCGCGTCCTACCTACTGAGAAGAGGAGGTTTTTATCTTCCTTAAATTCTTCCGAGATCATACATATCTCGTCGCATGGTTCGGAGAATTACTCCTCTCCTTGGGAATCTACCGTACTGGGTGACGAGTTCCGCGTTGTTGATATGGCAAAGATAGGCACTAGAGCTTCCCTTGTGGCTTTCAGCTGCTGTCTCAGCGGTAAAGGCCAGATAAGCTCCGGAGATGACCTTGTTGGTTTTTCGCATGCTGTACTTCAGTCCGGCTCGCTGGCATTCATTGGTGGCTTATGGAAGGTTGATGATGCGACAACCATGCTGCTGATGCATTTGTTCTATAAGCAACTTGCGGCACAGCGCAATGATACAAAGGGTGGTGGTACTTGTCTAGCAGTTGCCTGGCATCGGGCTGTGCGAGAGCTTTACCGACTTGACTCTCGGAGTGCAGGTACCATACACGATGAACTGGAGGAAATGTGGAAGGCCACAAGGGGCAAGACAACCAGACCAGAAGGCAATTTCACTAATCTCAAGTACATGATGGATCTGCTCAGGAGTAAGATTGATTCGGGAAAGTTGGATTTCACACTTCCATGTTATTGGGCTCCGTTTTCTCTGGTTGGATATGGAAATGCAGTGGTCCTTGGTCCGTTAGGGCAAAAATAGTATTTGAGACAAAATGGAGTTGGTTTTTTCTCGAGGCCATCCTCAAAGTCCATTCAATACGGAAACCAGCTATGTATCCATCGCGGTGTTCTTGCAAACAGAATGACATCATATCAGCTGTCGGCTCATGATGCAGTCAAAAGATGTCCTTAGTTAGCCACCACAAAGGTTAGCGTCTTTGTCTTCGTCGAACCTCGTCATCTAACAGAGACTTAATACACAAATGCAGAGAACTAACTCCAAACCAACAACACCCAGACATCCCCAATCAGTATTCAAGAAACGGAATGGCTGTGCCCCAATTCATACGTTATTTCACCGAGACCTAATTCAAACATACTGGAGTATATGCCCTCTATTAGAGCCCTATGAAGGACGAACACCAGAATTAGTTAGTCTAGTCCTAGTACCAAATCGAAGCCTTGCCGAGATCAGCCAACAGAAAACACCATTTGTACCCACCTACACGGCGATGGGTCTAATACTCGAATCCTATAGGGCAGTTCGTCAACTTTGAAATTAAAGATCGATAATCGGCGGTAGCGCTGATCAATTAACAAGACGATCTTTAACAACCACCAACCACTGTCCGAGGCACTGCCTGCCAATTCAGTCAGCTCATAGCAGAGCCAATAAAACTGCCGGCTCTGGGGTCATTCTTGACGCTAGTCTCCACCAGCACGACGAGGATGTGATCCTGCCGCCCGCTTCTAACTCGATAACCCTGAAATCGAATATTCGAGATTCACGAAACTATGTGAGTTCTTATGCGGGCGATTGCTCATTGGTAGCTACTTTGTGTCATGCTTTGCGGGTATTGTATTTACTGTAGGACAATGGCAGACCAAAGTCTACCTAGAATGTTATTTTCCAAGCTGACAGCCCATCACGCAATACTATCCAGATTACCAACCAACATGGACTGTAACTGTATTTTCAAGGCCGAAGGACCGACAAACGGCTTCTAGATGACAAATTCACTTGATGAAGGCTTGAGTAGACTTCTATATTTGGCGCTGCCTGCAAGCCTTTTGCTACATCTCTTGATGCATCTTTTTAACATTACCATTGTCGAAATTCATGTCTCTCTCCCATAGCACAGTCATGGACAACAAGCGCAACCCTTCACCAGCGATTCCAATGGACAGTTCCGATTCTTCGAATACAAAAAAGCGGACCCCCACAGAATCTGCGGATACAGTCCCCCCTCCCCCTCCTGATGGCGGCTTGACTGCGTGGTTGCAAGTTGTGGGAGCCTTTTTCCTCTTCTTCAACTCCTGGTAAGTTATGCGGATCTCTTCAAACATAATCCATAACACCAAATAACTCAGTTCCTCAGGGGTATCCTCAACGCCTACGGAGTATTCCAGAGCTACTACCAATCGGACCTGATCCCTACATACTCATCCTCCGCTATCACCTGGATCGGCACCGTGCAAGGTTTCGTCCTGTTTCTGGTTGGAGTGATCGTCGGCCCCATCTTTGACAAAGGCTTTCTGCACAGCTTGATTGCCTTTGGAACCTTCATGGTCGTGTTCGGGCTGATGATGACCTCCCTGTCAACCCAGTACTACCAGCTCTTCCTTGCGCACGGCATCACAGTGGGCATCGGCTGCGCATTTCTCTTTCTACCCAGCATCGCCATCGTCGCCACCTACTTCACCTCACGCCGCGCCGTCGCCACCGGCATTACAGCGTCAGGAGGCAGCATCGGGGCGGTAATATACCCCATAATGTTCCACAAACTGATCAGCCGAGTAGGGTTCGGCTGGACGACACGGATCATCGGCTTCGTAGCGCTAGCTGGACTCTCCGTCTCAATGCTGGTATTAAGGCGGCGCCTACCACCACCAACGAAGAGCAGATCTTTACTGGACGTTGCTGCTCTCAAGGAACCAGCCTTCCTGGTCTTCAGCTTCGGCCTGTTCTTCTGCTTTGTGGGACTCTACTTCCCCTTCTTTTACCTCCAGAGTTACTTTACCTACTACCTGCACAACGACAGCAGCTTAGCATTCTACATTTTCGCAGTCCTGAACGCTACCTCCGTGCTGGGCCGCATCACCCCCGGTCTTATGGCCGACCGTATCGGCGGCTTGAACACTCTGGTGCCTATTAGTATCCTGGCGACCATTTTGGCATTTGTGTGGATCGCCGTGCGCAACGTGGGCGGGGCGGTCGCTTTTACCTGCTTGTACGGCTACGCTTCCGGGGCGATTGTCTCCCTGCCACCGTCTATCTTGACACGCATGTCTCCGAAACTGGGTGTTGTGGGCACGCGCCTGGGCATGATCTTCATGTTTGCTGGTTGCGGGTTCCTGATCGGTACGCCGATTGCTTCGCTTCTGCTGGATCTAGAGGAGGCTTCGTTTTGGAAGGCTCAGCTATTCAGTGGTATGTTTGTCGCTGCTGGGACGATCTGTTTTGTTCTTCTGCGGGTGATGCTGTGGCGGAAGGGCGGGGGCTGGAAGATTTGAGAGGACAGCTGAAGAGGAGCTATGACCGCTAAGTGAAGTTGGCGGTGGTGGAGTGGTACATGCAGCCATCCATCTGTCGAAACGTTACAGCATGGCGGACAATATAGCTATACGTTGCACAACATAGAAACTAATTCACTGACTCGCTGCATCCTTTCTTGTCATAAATTCAGAAAAGTGAACAAGTTAGTAGGTCATCTAGTTTTTGAAATGGACGCCCATCGCATCCCCAGTCCTGCTGGGTCTTTGATAATGAACAAATATATCGAACGCTATTTATTGATTCGTCTGCAAGAATTCAACGGCTTATGTTGCGGCTTAGCCACTCTCTCCACCCCAGGTCGCTCACAATAGATCTCACACGAGCCTCAAGCCACTCAGTATTCCCCCAGAAGCCCCAAGAAGCCTGAAACCTGCACCAGTCCACTAGAGCCGTCTCCCAGTGTCGTACAAAGGTTTCCCATTCGTACCAGCGCTCTCCTTTATCCTGGAGCAACGTCTTATGGTAGTGCTCCAGCAAAGTTCGCTCACCTTCACACATTTCCAATTGCTCTGGTAGCAAGTCTTCCTCATCGTCAGCAAGCATCTTCAACGGAACCGAGCACGTAAAGAGTTTTGCCAGGTCACAGACTCCCAGACCTAACCCGACATATTGAAAGTCAAAGAAAGCTACCTCATCGCCCTTGGTTGTCGTAAAGAGGTTCTCTGACTTGACATCGCCATGGATCAGTGACTCCATCTGCCTTCCACAAGGTGTCAAAAGCAACGCAGCCATCTCAGCCACCGATGGCGCAGACTCATCCGAAGCTTTACATAGGATATCAGACCACTCCGAGTCCGTATCCTCAACAAGCGAAGCGTACTCCTTCCGGCGGGTCGACAGATACGTGTACCCTCCGTTAAGCCATAGCGCGTTCCCTGTCTCCGTGTTTCCCGAATCACGCCTCCTCTTCGCTTCCTCAAGCGGCGGCAGGACGTACCCATCCAGACTCCTGTCATCAGACAACAACCCCCACGACCGACTATGAAACCTTGCCAACCAATTCAGCGCCCCATACACCTGAGCGCGACTCAACACACTTCTCTTCTCACCCGCAACCGGGAATGCAGGCCGCAAATCAACCATAATCGTCGCCATCAAACCACAAAGTTCCTCTGCACCTCGCTTCCCACGCATGCCTCGCGTAGACGCGAGGCAGTTAGCCACAGCGATATCATCTCCTAGTCGCGGGACTACATCACTGTAGAAGTACTGCTCAACCTCGTAGCTGAGCATCTTGCGAAGATGGCCCTCATCCTCCTTTCCCGCTGCTTTGCGAGGCGGTGAGATGAGCTTTAAAATCAGAGAAAAAGTGCTCCCCGCGGTTCTCGATTCCACTCCGCAAAGCTTCCCGAGATGCTCCGCCGCTTCGGCGGTGGTGGCTCGGGCGGTGAGGGCGCAGATGTGCCCGTACCCGGCCCACAGGGTCTGGAGGGTGGTACAGGAGACGAGGTCGAGGGAGTGCCACGACAGCATGATGCGGGCGACCCGCGCGGGGTCATTGGTGAGTGGGGATGACATGATAGGTCCTATCGGCCAAGGTCTATAGACTTTAGGTATATGGTTTTTGAGAGGTAGTTTGGGACAATGTGAGATCTGGGGTGATAAGATCCAAAGAGAGTCTGGAATGTCACTAGCTTTTGATTTCCATGGATGTGAGGCGCTAGGGCGTACCGTACTTGCCACTGCTGCAATATCATTCACGTGAGTATTAGAGTAGTATGAGATATGTTGAGGCAGTATTATTGTAGGCTCTATCACGACGCCGCGCTCAGGCCATTATACTAAATATCTCTTTATACTTATTCTGCTTTGCATTTCTAGATAGTATTATAATATTTATTTTACGATGTTCTTTGCTTCTTTGCTTCTCTGTCTATATAGTTTCTGAATTAATTGAGAGTCTTAACTTCTAGGCCTAGGAATGGAGCCAGGACCTGGAGTTCAGGACCGGACCATGCAGTCTTTAGTCTCTACTTATATTATCCAGGACTATATCATAATTATCCACAGTTATAGACAGTCTTTTTCAAGAAGATTACTCATTGCTGTATAATCTTACTAACTCTTCTCATTCTTAACTGTATATAGAGTGGTTATACCTGACTGTTATATCTTAAACTGATCGTAACTGTAACCTGACAATCATTTTTAAGGTATAGAGGCTCTCTTAATTATATAGCTAAGATTGAATTAGTATTAAGACATCATTCTAATCGTTTATTTTTACAGATCAGGAAGATCAGATATAGTAGATAACTCAAGAATTAGTATAGATTAATTAACAATTGATACAGATCTCTTACAGGACTTAATCATGTATTACATACCTGGGGCCTGGAAGTTGGAAAGGGTCCATCTCTCTCGCATCTACCAAGTAGTAAGTCATTTACATAAACTATTAGTTTTATATGTTCATATAAGAATGTAGATTTATTATTAGGATAATATTGTTTTGCTGGCTGCCATCACCATCAATTTCCTGATATATTTGGAAGAGGAAACGTGCCACAGCTAATAACGCGTCTTGCCCTACTAGAAAAAAGGGATAGGCTAAGCGCAGCCTCGTCCTATATTCAGGGATTGCTACCTCAATTTGTTATATAACACTAACCTGCCATTTCAAGGCCATTTCTGCGGGAAGCTTATTAAAACGGACCAAGAAGTATATCATTCTTGCGCAGTAAAAGAACACCATCTGCGTTCTCCTCACATGGTCCAGGGCCCTTGAGGACTCCCCCAAAGATTATAATAGCCGATGTCTCAAGTCCCTTGCCACCTTCAGAGCCCACAACCTCTGTCTCGTCTGTAGTCAGGCTCCCTGGATCCTTTGCCTGCAGCCACGTATAATCGACTTTGCTTTGACGAAGCAGAAAGGCAAGGCGATATGCTTGTTTACATATGTCAGCCATTGCAGCTTGAATCTCTTGATAGCGGGTATCAGGATTGTCTTCATTTCGCCATTCATCTTGAAAGATTTCAGAAGAGATATTGCCGCACATTTCGTTCAGGGCTGTACAGGCATATTTGAGTTCAGGATCGTGTAGCTGTGCGAGTTTCAGAGTTGAAGCTCGCCACTTGCGAATGTCTGCAGCAGGAACTAGGGATAAGCGTTAAGGTTGGATGATCTTACTAGTGAAAGAGATATTTTGGGATGTTTAGGCAATAACTTACCATTGCCACCATGAAACAGTTCCTCTTCAAGATGTCCCAGGCAGGAGTCCCATTCTGCAGTAAACCCGAATAGCGAAACATTGGGAAGGAACAGATGACTGTATAACCGGTCTGCGATTGTCGCCGTCAACCACAGATTTTTATTAGCAAGAGAAAGCCTCTGGTATGCCCCATCTCTTAGCTCACATCCGCGGCAGTATTTTCCTACGAACTGCCGGATACGGAAGAATAGCTGATCAAATGACAAGACCACATCATCATCTAGAGGGCCGGGAGATTCCAACCCGCTGTCAATTATGATCTTATGGAGGGCTTTGACTTGCCCCTCACTTTCCCTTAGACTGCCAGCTAAACCCTGGATCTTCTCCTCGAGATGTTGCTTCTCGTCGCTTAATTTCAAGTTGGCAGCTTGGAATCCCCGTATTTGTGTCTCAAGTTCCTGCAACGTTCGATGTAGGCTGTTTCCATCCTCGCTGGTAGTGTGTAGCTCAGGGGCTACCTTCTCCAGGATTGTGTTAACTTTTGTGCGGCGCTACCCGCCCCGCTGAAAACTTACATTGACCTTCCTGGGTTTTATTGAAGTTATTTTGTTCTATTTCAGGGGTCAGTTATAATGAAAGCTCAAATATCTGTCACTTACCATAGCAACGTCGAGAGAGTCCTTGCTTAAAAACCTCACTGGATTCGCACGCCACTGGATAATATGTACGGTACCGACAGGTAGAGGAAAGAATATGTGCTCTTGTGATTTGGCTTCAGAACATACTCACGCATCAGTCGACCATTCATATAGGCTTTTTTTAGGTATATAAAGAATCCATGTCAATTCAAATTAAAGCTGTCATGTGAAAGTAAACCCAAATAGAGGACCTGATCATGAAGGTCCTACGCCAGGTGGGCCATTCCGCAAACGGAGGCAGTTCTACGCTTGATCATCAGACAAGATTCATAGTTCGCTTACCGTCAATATTATTGTTCGAGGTATGTTCAGAGCCCAGAACATAGGTAACCCACGCAGTCAAGCCCAGGTGAAGTTTAACCTTGTTATCCGAGCAGTATACATCTCGTGTTCGGGCCATAAAGCGCGGATGGACTGATTATAGGGAAACTGAAAAGTTTTATGGACCAGAATAAATACGGACCATCAAGAATCTGAGTTAATAGGTTTTATATAGACTTTTCCCGTGTGCTATGGTTCAAGTGGGGTCTGGACCCGAATACGGGATAAGGTTCAGGATGGCAGACCTAAACCCAACTAGCTCCGAGATACGACTCAATATAATCATCGGGATTCTGATTATTAGGTCCGTACTAAATAATATCACCTGATAGCTCAGACTTCAGCAAGGTGAGTTTGTATGTTGTCATTGATCAGTCTCCCAACACTATTGGTCGTAAAGTCATAACCACGTTCGGTGCCAAACTACAGAATGGATATTTTAGATCTAGAACACTCCTCTCGATCATTTGACGCAAAACCTACAATTGTGATGATCGTGACTGTTCGTATAATCCCACCTAGTAGCATAGTGGCGTCTTCTTGGCTGGGAAGGAAGTTCTTGCAACGTCTATTTTCGATCTCGAGTATGACGGGTCCATATGGAAAAATCTGATAAATCCGTGAGCAATGACATCGACTAGGCGTCAGTCCTCGCTCTCATCTTCCATCCATTTTCGCAAACCTCCAGAGTGACAGGTAAGCTATCTGCAATGCACAACACACTAGTAGAGTCCTAAAATATGGGTTTCTGCCTTAACTGATATATCATCATCAGGATTCCCTCGCAAA